AGAAACTACATCCAAAAAATTTGAGAATATACAGCGAAACATGTTAACGCAAATTTAGAGATGTCACATGCCACACAACTCGAGCCAATATGGCTTTATTGTAAGAGATGGACCTCTAAAGTTCCGTTGCGACCTTTATAATTTCTCATGATTTTTTAAAATTCACTAAGGCGATATTGGTGTCAATTAAAAGCATTTGAAGCCATGATTTTAAAAATAAAGAGACAGAATATCAAATAATAATAAGGACTACATGTGGTAACAAATTCTAAAAGATACCCGATGGTCCCTATACTACTAGGCTTAAGCTAGGCTTAATAGCAACAATTGTAAAAAATTACAGAATATGGTCATTGCTTAAAACATACCATCAATTTTGAGCTCATCTGACAAATTTTTCCACGCCTCATTTCTTTCCTTTGTATTGTTTGAATTATACAAACAAGGCTTTTTTCGAACAGCGAAAATTATTTTCTTATTAATATCCATATCCACGGTGTTGTTCAGGAGTTCGTCCTTTCCTATTTACTAAGTACTTGATGCGTTTGTATACCATACACAACACTTATTTTAAAAGCAGGTGCAACAGTAATCGACTACTACAAAAACTGTTGTCGATATTCGGTATGTCGAATATAACTAACACATTTACACGATTATTTTACACAACTTAATTCAGAATGTAGTGCGAAATTTATTGTCAATCCACAAAAAATTTTAGATTTTCACTTACAATTATGTTTTAATTTTTTTTAAATAACACTTTGTTGACAGCTCAATGCACCAACAGCTGTTCTGGCTAGTCTACATTGATACCACATTACCCGTGCAACCACATTTAAAAACGTTCCATACGATACTAATAGAACGCTTAAGCCTTTGTCACACGACCATCATTGTCGTATGTAATTTCAAATTTTACATACTGTACACGTCCTGTGGCCCACACGAAAAATTAGATCTGTTACAACAATATGACAACACATATCGCTCATTTGCTGCAAGGCAGGCATAACTCAAAAAGCGATTTTCGAGTTAATGATACACGATTGTTCGCTATAAAAGACCTCATGTCGTATACAAAATTCATATGAATATCTCTTACACACTCTAATTGAGATGATGTAGAAGTTCCTCTATCCCATATAAAGTGTGAGTAAATTATTTTGCATTTTCTGCAAAATCGTTTTTTAATTATGCCCGTCTTGCAGCAAATGAGCGATATGTATTTTTTCATTTTGGGACCGCTCTATTTCTGTATGTATTTTCATATGCAAACCAAATTAATCAGCTGTTTTGATTGTTTAGAAAATGAAGATATATTTGTAATAAGTTGAAGAACTAAAGCTAAATGTGTTGAAGAACAAAAATGCATAAACAAGTGTGAACCATAAAGTAAAAACGAACATTTATCATACAAAAATAAATGACGATTGCAGCGTAATTTATTTTAAACAACGCACGAAAACACCGTACTATCTTATATAATCCTGTTTTTTGTGTATTAAAAATTGCAACAGTGTTTTTTGTAAAGTGTAATAAGACTTTGCAAAAAACGCGAAAATTGAAGTAAGTAAGTAAGTAAATTTTATTGAGTCTCTTCTTCTTTTCGATAACATAGTTTCATGTACAGATAATGATTAGACTAGTTAGAACTATAGACGTCTTATTCTAACACATTGAAGGAGATATGCAACATTGCAAACGATAATATACGTATGATAAATGTGAAAACATGCTGTATGAAAGAGTGAAGGCTTGCTCCCGGCCTATACAATAGCGGGCAGAGCAATTGACGTCTGCCAAATATAAATAGACTTAAAACAAAATAACAAAAACAAAATAGATGTCTGTTAAGGCAATGACAAACAGAGCGCTTACAAATGTAAACAAATGAATACTCTAAAATAAAGTCAAAGAAATTATTAAAAATAAAATTAAGTATATAAATATCACAGAAAAAATTTATAAAAAATTAATCGGTCGCTTATAATAAGCTAATAGATCACAGGTAAGTTCATTGGAAATATGTATCACTTATAAAAATTAAAACGATATGTATTCTTTGCAGGAAAATACGAAAAGCAAATACATGCTCAACCCCTATGTGTTCTAGGAGTTGATTTTATGTAGAACTGATGTGACAATCCATCAGGGTCAATGTCAAGACGTTCGTTGAGGATACCAATAGGCGAGAGGTAAGACGTATTATTCCATGAAAAATTTTTTTCTGTTTCATAGATATCTTGCATTAAGCCATTTACGTGCGTGGGAAGTTTGTCAACAAAATGTCTTTGAAGCTTAAGTGCGTAAAGGCAGAACGGTTGCACTTCAGAGAGGTCGTAGATGTAGTTATTAGAGTGCATTTTTGTTGGGTTCTCAAAATTGAATGGAATGTCAGATTGCTGTCAAAAGTAGATTTATGAAAAAATTGGAAGCATATGACTGCATGAGACTACCTTGTATAATTATGTCATGATATGCCATTTAATGTCATGTTCTGACGGGCATTCGAACAACGTAGTTCGCTCTCAGAATTACGTCCATGAATTAACCCGTTCATACAACACTATTCCTAATTCATGTCATCAGAGTTTTTTATTTCAAACTTTTGGTTTCTTGTTTTACACAAAAGTTGTAACATATTTACGTGAATCACACATAGATCTAAATAGAAAAAATAATGCTCTTTATCCTGACTATAGTATGAACCCATATCTATTTACTTTTAATTCATGTTTTCCATTTTTTTTTTTTTGAAAATATTGTGGTTTTATATATATTTTCGAATTTTCTCAATTCAAATGTCACATATGTATATGTAAATAAAAAAATGGAGAATTTTTGTTTGGGTTTCCCCACATTTGTTTCTCGTTTTGTACGCTAATTAGAACAAAAGGGAAAGAAATTCATATTGCATTATGTAGATTACAAAATTTACTTCCTTCTGCATATATAAAAACTAGAAAATTTGTTACTTTTCATTCATCATTTTCAATTTTACTGAAAAAGTTTGAAAAATTTATAAATATTTTCATGCTGTCAAAATTAATTTATTTTCGATAAATTCTCTCATTTGTTAGGGATGGGACAAAATTCTTTGTTATTCAGAGAGTGATTCGAATTGAACAACGTACAAAAGTCGGTGTTCGCTCAGACAATTTTGTATGGGGAACTATGTAATTACTTCATAATTAGGGGTCGAACAACGAATGAGAGAGCGAACGACGCTCGTCTGTACATGGCATTATACAACTTTTTTTTTAAGTTATTGGCTCGCCTCCCGATTATCGAGTATTAATAGCGCCACCACAGATTATGTAGACTTTGTCTACGAGCCATTCAATTTTAACACTGATTTCCTTGGTGAATTGACCAAATCGTTAGGATAATTCCAATGATAATGAAATCCTCAACCGTTTGGATTCCATTGAACGACTCGGACATTATAGGTTATCCGTATTCGAAAAAACACGTATTAGTTAAGCGAACGCTTAACAACCGCCATTTTGTAAAAAATTTATTTTTAAGCCCTTGGGCGTATAATGCTTTTTTAAACTTTTTAGATCACGTCCTTCTTGTGAGCCGTCCGAAGACGAACTTACATTATACAACTTGTTTACGTTATCACATTGGAAGTCAATTTATAATAATGGTTTTTGACAACAAACTTGAGAAGCATTAATTGGCATTGAATCGTACTATGAGGCAATACTATGATGCAAAACAAAAATATCTTTTTTTAATCGACTATCGATCAAATTGGATCTAGTAATATTTCTTATGGTCGGCGACAAGATCTATTAATAAGGTCACCAAGATAGCAATCGAAATCGGAAAACAGCTGTTTTTTCTCAAGTCTAATGTCAAAAATTTCGACTTTGTTTACGTTTTCATAATGGAAGTCAATTCACAATAATGCATTTTGACAGCAAACTTGAGAGGTATCGATAATCAGCTGGTCTCCCTTGGTGACCTTATTTATAGGCCATGGTCGGCAACATTGCACGTCGCATTGTAATTGTTTTGCTTCAGATTGCAACTTTATTTTTGACAGTTAATAATACGAACAGCTGTGCTGATGCGGCTACCTTATTACATCTGCTATCCATCATTGGTGCATTATTTGACTCATCAATTATCAGCTGTGAAACAAACTAGCATTTGTGTGGCGTTTTGTGGTTTTCTCGTCTACGGCTAAGCAGAAATAACGAATAACCCGATAAAAACGATAAGAAACAAAAACGCCTTATTTTTTTAGAGTGCATATAAAAATATATACATATATATTCGATTTTTATTATGGTAAGTGCAAACCGAACCGTGTTCTATTCAATTCAGTTTTGCATTAATTTATTTATATGTACTATAATCGAATGTAATAGCATGTACGATTTTCAGATTCATTAAGATGCAATTTTGGATATGTACACGGAAAAAAATCTAGATGCTAGAGATTTCATATCGCACTATATCGTTAGTGTGAGGCATATTTGTAAAACAAAAAAAAAAGTACAAATAGAGTGACCTATACAACGTATGTTAGGGAGCACAGAACAATTTATAATTTACATTACAAAGAATGACTTGCATACATATGTATATTAAAACTTGTCAATATATATTAATTAGATTTTCCTTGTTGCTGCATGAACGTATTTATTACTTATCACTAAAGAATTGATTGATGTACCCCTGGAGTTCGGCTTCGTATTCGCCTATTGGTGTTATTGCTAGCACGGTAAATTAAATATTGATGTCCTTATATATGTTATAGAATGTTTGCCAAAATTGTTTTTCTTTTGTGATAAACTGGTGTAAATGACATCCATGTTAGCTAATAAATATGATCTGAAAAAAATTGTAATTTGCCATCGCTCATTATATGTTTTTGCCAGTGTGCGTATGCATTGTGTGTTTATTGCCTAATTTACAATGTTTTGTTCAGTATACCTTTAAAAAAGGCTTATTAAACAAATATACTTTACTTGCACTCGTTCTTTCTGCAGACAATGTCAAACACAATGGATGACCAAGATAAGCTGTTGGCAGAAGCTATTGGTGCTGCACGTAAACAGGCTTTCCAAATGAACCACTTCTTGGACAAAGATCGCATGCTGGATGCATTGAAATGCGCTAGTGCTATGTTAAGCGAACTTCGTACATCTATGCTGTCACCGAAGAGTTACTACGAGTTATGTACGTGTGTTGAAATAAGTGATTATTATTTTTAATTGAAATCATATACTTCTGCTTAGATATGGTCATTACGGATGAGCTGTGTCGCCTGGAACTGTATCTGAGCGAAAAGGCAACAAAGGAAACAGACCACTACGAACTCGTTCAGTATTCACACACCATTGTCCCACGCCTTTATTTGTTGATAACCGTTGGCATTGTTTACATAAAGAATGATCCTTCATTGAAGCGAAGTATCCTGAAAGATTTGGTGGAGATGTGTCGTGGGGTACAGCATCCGCTTAGAGGCCTCTTTTTGCGCAACTACCTTTTACAGTGTACCAGGAATATATTACCCGATGTTCTAGTTGCTGAAAATGAGCACGAGGGAAATGTCTACGATGCCATTGACTTTGTGTTGACTAACTTCGCAGAAATGAACAAGTTATGGGTGCGCATGCAGCATCAAGGTCATTCTAGCGAGAAAACTCGACGTGAAAAAGAACGCGAAGAACTCAAAATTTTAGTAGGCACAAACTTGGTGCGATTGTCTCAATTGGAGTCAGCTTCTCTAGAGATTTATCAACGTTTAATACTACCGGGGATATTGGAACAAGTGGTCAGCTGCCGTGACGCTATTGCTCAGGAGTACTTAATGGAATGTATTATACAAGTATTTCCCGATGAGTTTCATCTACAAACTCTGGATCCATTTTTGAAATCTTGTGCCCAGCTCCAGACTGGCGTTAATGTAAAAAACATTATAATATGTTTAATTGACCGCCTAGCAACGTACAACCAACGCAGTGGTAAAGTATGTTAATTGTCCGTCCTCTATCTGAATAAATATTTAAAATATTGAAATTACAATTTTCTATATAGAATAACGGCACAGATATCGAATCTATCATTCCACCTGAAGTAAAATTGTTTGAAGTTTTTAGCGTGCAGGTGGCGAACATTGTTCAGGTATTTGAGAATACAATCGTAATAATACGTTGTAGACATCTAAAATGACTAATTTGTTTATAGAATCGGTCGGATATGCCCCTTGAAGATACAATTTCGTTACAAATTGCTCTATTAAATTTGGCACAGAAAGTATATCCAGATCGTGTGGATTATGTTGACAAGGTGCTGGGAACGACGGCGCAGATACTTGAAAGTCTTAATATGAATAAGTATGTAAAAAATACTCCCCGAAAAATACACTCTCAAAAATTCCCCAAACTTACTTTACAGCATATCGCACTTGTTGTCGGTAAATCAAGAATTATCACGTCTCCTACGCATATGTATTGATTTTTACAATAACGTGCTTACCGTTATTCAACTAAACAATTTTTGTCCACTACTGGATAAATTCGATTACACTTCGAGAAAAACATTGGCATTGTATTTAGTAATGAATGTGTTAGAATTTGAGACCCTCATACCAACAGCAGAACAAGCAGACGCTGTCCTCAAAATAATAACGCCATTGATTAAAGACGACGAGGCAGCAGTAATTACCAAGGGACAGGAGCCAATAGTAGATATAGATGAATTCGCCGAGGAGCAGGGTATTGTTGCACGGTAAATACGAATATTTGTGTTGTTTAAAACAAATCTTTATTCAGTTTGAAAATATTTTTGGTTTAGATTTGTCCATTTGCTAAAATCGGATGACCCTGATATGCAATATAAAATTCTACAGACAGCGCGCAAGCATTTAGGGGCCGGCGGACCACACCGCATTCGGCTGGTTTTGCCACCACTGGTTTTCTCTGCATACCAGTTAGCATACAAGTACAAAGATCAATCGGAAAATGATGAAAATTGGGATAAAAAGTGCCAAAAGATCATCCAGTTCTGTCACAGCACTATTTCAGCCCTTGCAAAGGCCGATTTGGCGGAATTAGCACTGCGTCTGTATTTACAAGGAGCGTTGGTAATTGGAGAAATTGGTTACACTAATCATGAAACTGTGGCCTACGAATTCATGACCCAAGCCTTTTCCTTGTACGAAGATGAAATATCGGACTCGAAGGCCCAGTTGGCTGCAATTACACTCATCATGTCCACGTTAGAGCAAATGAAATGCTTTGGTGAAGAAAATGCAGATCCTTTGCGCACAAATTGTGCTTTGGCAGCATCAAAGCTTCTCAAAAAGCCGGACCAATGTAGGGGAGTAGTAGCATGTGCAGCGCTCTTTTGGAGCGGGAAGTAAGTTTCAATCTAAATGCAATGTATAAAAGTGTAGCAATTGTAATTGTTATGTTTTAGAAAAAATGGCGAGGAAATGCGAGATGAAAAGAAGACATTGGATTGCTTAAAGAAAGGAGCGCGTATTGCATCTCAATGTTTAGATACAGGCGTGCAAGTCCAGTTATATGTGGAACTTTTAAATCATTATCTCTTCTATTTTGAACGTGGAAATTCTTTGATTACGGTCGCAATGCTCAATCAAGTAAGTCTATTATGTTGAAATACATACGGGCATTTTAATAGCAATCCTTTTTTCCCATCTCTCAGTTGATTGCGAAAATAAATGAGGAACTGCCGAACTTAGAGCCGAGTGATGAAACTAAGCAAATCGAGATGCATTATAAAAATACTTTGACACACATTAAGAGTCGGATTGAATCAAATGAATCAGGCTTAGAAGTGTCTTTTGCTGGAATATCTATAAACTAAATAATGAGCAATTTGCGAAGCATTTGTATTATTTATAATTACCATTTCTGTAGATGAAGACAGCAAGCTGTTTTCTTATACTAGCATTATTCCAATTATACAAAAAAGATCTACACAAATAAAATAATTAAATGTTTTAACGTTAATAATATTATTATTCCCCTAATGCAGGGATGCAAATTGATGACATTCCTAGTCGTCTTGATTACTTCAATAATTTCAAGAACACTTTGGAACTGAATTTCATGTTAGTTTGGGGTAGTGACATTAGTCAATAGCATACCTATTCAAATGCAATCGAAAGAAGCAAGAATTCTCATACTATTACCATCAGAAAGGTAGACTTAGTGATATCTTGAAAATCAATCTTTATGAAACTGAATAAAATGAAAAAAAGTACTCTTTTATTAAAAGGTACTCTTTTGGTACCTTTTCACATTTTTCATTTTCCATCCCTGCCCTAATGTAACGTTGATTTCCATTATGCTTTCCTTCTAATATATTTGGATTAAATTCGGGTGACGTGGTATAAGCGGATAATGTGATGCAGTGGATTTTTTCTTATACTGAGGGCATAGTAAAAAAGGTACCAAAAATGTGAATTTGTTTTTGTTTTAATTTTCTTTACAAAAAACAGTTGCAATATTGATGCTTGGGTTTACAATGAGAGGCAGTATTTCAGAAAAAACGGCTATAATGAGGTGTGCGCAACGTACGCCGTTCGAGAAATTTAAAACGAAACGCATTATTTAAATGCGACAAAAATCGCAACACAATCAGCCTTATTCTGGATATTGGCTGGGAGATATCTCGCACATACAAAAATTTTCGCTTTCACATTCTCGCCTCATTCTGAATGAATAGGGAGACGCAAAAAATGCGAGATGCGGATTCGAGTTTTCAAAAATGGTGGTTGAAAAAAGATACGTGTTCCCATATTATAATTTAAGTTGTAATGTGTGTTGCCATATTGTAATTTAAGTTGTAATGTGTGTTGCCCCATTGTAATTCAATTGTGTAATATTTTTCAATATTTTATTTATTGATTATTTTATTAAAAAATTGTTACTTGTTATTGTGGTTTAAACTTTATAACAATATAAATGTGAAATATCAAGAATCCGCTTTATAAATGCTTTGTAATTAAAAGAAAATTAATTAAAGTTTGAAAATATGGCAACCTACAATATGACATGTGAAACTGCTGTTCATTGTTTTGATGCATTTTGGTACAACAACTACAATAGATTACAAATAAAAGAAAAATTTTTTTTATGATGGAAAAAACACAGGCACATAATTGTGTGCCTTTTTATTTAATTTCGATATTTTATCTCTCCAAATTCTTAAAGTGGCCTGTTATGCTCCTACTCCTTTATTTCTTCCTTCAAATAATGCAAACGATAATTTTGAAAAAAAAATATTTTTTTTTTGTTTCATAATTTTTATTTAAGTTTTTCACTGTTAAGCGGCTCATTAGGCAAATTTTGTTTTTCTATAATTTTTTTCTTGAGATACAGATCCTCACCCAAAATATCTGTTTTTCGCCTCCAAAATGCATCAAACTCGACTTAAATATTCATTATTACCTTTATACATTCCTTGGCAATATTTGGTTCAGTATGCATCATTATCAATAGGATTTCCAAAGGCATTTTATTTGCTGTTTTCCAGATAAATATTTGCTTACTATCATTTATAATATTCTAAATCGTCATAGAATAAGTATTGTGTTAATATTTTTCATAAAAATATTTATTACTTATGTTTTTGTAGTCAACTCACTTTGAATTTATTAGCGAAAAAATTCGCACAAAATTTCATCTCATTCTCCTACTCCCTGTAATCCAGAATACATAATTTTTCCCCAAAGCGGATTTTTTCGCTTTCGAACTTCATTCAGAATAAGGCGAAAGCGAGAATGCGAAAAAATTCACACAAAAATGTTGTTCAGAATAAGACGAAGGGGAAGAGCGAGTAAATTCACGTGGAATTGACATCCAGAATAAGGCTGTATGTATTCTGGATTACAGGGAGTAGGAGAATGAGATGAAATTTTGTGCGAATTTTTTCGCTAATAAATTCAAAGTGAGTTGACTACAAAAACATAAGTAATAAATATTTTTAAAAAATATTAACACAATACTTATTCTATGACGATTTAGAATATTATAAATGATAGTAAGCAAATATTTATCTGGAAAACAGCAAATAAAATGCCTTTGGAAATCCTATTGATAATGATGCATACTGAACCAAATATTGCCAAGGAATGTATAAAGGTAATAATGAATATTTAAGTCGAGTTTGATGCATTTTGGAGGCGAAAAACAGATGTTTTGGGTGAGGATCTGTATCTCAAGAAAAAAATTATAGAAAAACAAAATTTGCCTAATGAGCCGCTTAACAGTGAAAAACTTAAATAAAAATTATGAAAAAAAAAAAAAAAAATATTTTTTTCAAAATTATCGTTTGCATTATTTGAAGGAAGAAATAAAGGAGTAGGAGCATAACAGGCCACTTTAAGAATTTGGAGAGATAAAATATCGAAATTAAATAAAAAGGCACACAATTATGTGCCTGTGTTTTTCCCATCATAAAAAAAAATTTCTTTTATTTGTAATCTATTGTAGTTGTTGTACCAAAATGCATCAAAACAATGAACAGCAGTTTCACATGTCATATTGTAGGTTGCCATATTTTCAAACTTTAATTAATTTTCTTTTAATTACAAAGCATTTATAAAGCGGATTCTTGATATTTCACATTTATATTGTTATAAAGTTTAAACCACAATAACAAGTAACAATTTTTAATAAAATAATCAATATCAGTAGTGTTTGGCGGGTTATTTGGGATACCATTTGTATTTTGTTTTTGCAAAATAGTCAGGCTTAATCCCAGTTTGTTGTTTTTATAAAAACTGATGAGGATCAGTGGCGAGATCCGAAACTATAGTCTTCCCTGCCTTACCCCTCGGCGGACAATGCCATACATTCCCCACTAATAAATAGTTGTTTTTTATAAAAACAACAAACTGGGATTAAGCCTGACTATTTTGCAAAAACAAAATAATCAATAAATAAAATATTGAAAAATATTACACAATTAAATTACAATGGGGCAACACACATTACAACTTAAATTACAATATGGCAACACACATTACAACTTAAATTATAATATGGCAACACACATTACAACTTAAATTATAATATGGCAACACGAATCTTTTTTTCAACCACCATTTTCGAAAACTCGAATCCGCATCTCGCATTTTTTGCGTCTCCCTATTCATTCAGAATGAGGCGAGAATGTGAAAGCGAAAATTTTTGTATGTGCGAGATATCTCCCAGCCAATATCCAGAATAAGGCTGATAATTTTTCCCCAAAGCGGATTTTTTCGCTTTCGAACTTCATTCAGAATAAGGCGAAAGCGAGAATGCGAAAAAATTCACACAAAAATGTTGTTCAGAATAAGACGAAGGGGAAGAGCGAGTAAATTCACGTGAAATTGACATCCAGAATAAGGCTGAATAGATAGGCAGTTCCAAAACCTCGCAACACGAACAACATACGATTTTCAGATAAGGAACTATGAATTAAAGGCATATTATTTTGTGAGTTTATGCTAGAATGTGAAAATTAAAGAAACGCACGTAACGTCCAAGGTATTCTAATTTTAATAATTCTATGTACATAAAAAGAATTCCGGAAACCGACATATTTACGAAACGAAGTGCCTAAAAAGTTAACATTATAAACAAATGTAACAATCATATTTCTAATGTGATGTAACTTATGAAAATTATATTCCGAAGAACATTTCCTTATAATTAAGATCACTCCTGATAGATTCTTTTAGGTGTTACAGCAGAATTTTGTACTTTTTTGCAAAGAATTTATCGCTTGTCATTTCTATTTGGTTGTTTGTGACCTGATTTTACAATTTTGTTATTAAATATTTATTAAAATTAACTTTTAACACTCATGAATACTAAAACAATATGATACCTAAAATAACGGTATTTTGTAAATTCGTCAGAGTTACAAATATTGACCCATTCTTTTTTTATTTTGTTTTTCGACTTTTTGAAATTGATTCATAAATTTTACTGCAAAATACCAAAAATTTCTGGGAAAAATTACAATTACAGATTCAATCGAACCTAAAACGTTGAAAAAACACCAAGTTGACCTATTTTTATCTTCAAATAAAAAAATTACTACATATTTACACATATTCAATTGTAGTGCATAAATTTTGATCAAATATATGGTATATTTCTTCGATATCATAAAGGAAAATTCGTTATTGCAGTAAAAAGTCGTAGATTCTTGCAGTACGGGAACGGACCAATATTTTGTACTGCTCGAACAATCGATTTGCCATTGTTAATCGATATTTCCTTACACAGTGCAAAAATATTTCGGCCTTCTAAAACATTGCGTATCGAAATCAAACCGTTCCTATAGGCTTATTCCCATTGTTTCAGTTTTTATTGCAAATATTTGTTTATTTTAAGAATTATTTATATTTTTATATTTCTATCTTGAGGATGGTTATACCAATGTTACGTGTACTGTACACATTGTTGTCAATTTATAATTTACAGATTTTTTAATTTTTTTATCTGTAAACAGATTGAAGTTGTGTTTCAAATATTCTTTTCCAAAAATTGCAGTGAAGTTAATAATCACACGATGTTTACATGGCCACATCAAAACCGTTATTTATGGAAAAAAATGCATGCAATAATTTTCTATCTTCACACTAAATCACTTTTGTACAGTATATCTAAGTGTTCTGAATTTGTTGGTTTGACATGTTTGAGTGCAACATTTTTTTTTTATCTGAGCAAAAATTTACTTTCCCTATCTATCCACACAAAAACATGCATAATATTTTGGAAAACCCACAACAATTTTAGTTATGGATAATAGCTTCAGTTAAAACAAATTTTACTCGTACATATCAATATAACGGAACATTTTACATTGCCTTATTGATTAATACTCAGGTGGATACAGGGGGTCATTTTTAGACCCGCTAAAAATACATTATTATTTATAACTTTATACTATTAAAGCATGGATCAACATTTAACAGGTTACTTGTTTCCTAACAATGATGATTTATTTGCCAAGTGTTCATATGAGGCCTAAAAGGACACAAATTTGAATAACATTTTCTCGTTAGACAGAGACATACTTGCCTTTAAAGTTGTTAAGCAGTAGCCACGTATGCCATTCATTTCCAATTGAAAAGTTTTACCATCGGTCAAGTCGTCCAGCAATGCCAGCTCTGCGCCTAAGTGCTGAACGCCTGCCCGAAGCAGTAGCACTAATGTCAGGGGCATGATTATATCAGCATTGAAACTGTTCTGATTATCTGAAATTATTAAACAATTACTCAATTAACATCAGCACGCATATACATATAATTAATTACCCCGTGATATAACTTTATGAGCTTGGGTCAATCTTTCCATACAGTTTTCTATCACATTTAGCATTGCTATGGGACTATATTTTTCTTTCAGCTTATGTAGCATATCAATGGCATCAGCAAATTGTTCGGTTTTGATCACCGCTAGCAGATCTCTAAAGACATTATTAGTACCGGATGAAATTGAAGATATCAAATGTAATTTACCTGTCAAAGTCTAAGCGGTTGATCAGTTCCTCGTCAGACAGTTTTTCTGCTTGGATAAGGTTTTGGCGGTATACCTCATCCTTGGAGCTATATTGATTAGCATACAGTACAAATAGCATTGAGTAAATATTCTCTGTTAGGAGTATGGGATACAGCAATGTGACGTGAGAGACAACCTCCCTCTGTTCACCAATGACACAATATTCCTCCGGTAGCGCTGGAAAGAGGCGACGAACTAATTTGTACACTCTCAGCGATATTGATTCCCATTCTCTCATCGCTTGTTTGGCCAAGAGAGGCGTTGGTTTCACCTTCCAGCAGCCATAAGATCGATAGAATGCTTGCATTATGCGGTCACTTAAATGTTTCAAGGGGTGGTAACGATAACGAAACGCAACGGTCAAGTATGACTTGATGGCGATTACATCCGCATCACTCAATTCGGTCATCCCAACCGCTGGTATTATTTCCATTTCTGTCTGCTTTGAAATGCTAAAAGGTTAACACTTTGACAAATTATTATCTCACATTTACGACCAACATTTATTTATTACCAATTATCTGTCCGATCGCTATTACCCAAAGCACTGTCATTGAATGAATCCACGCTTGTTTCGAGGGATTCCATTATTGCCATAAGGGTTGGGAATTTATACATGCTGCCTAGATCTCCATTTCCATTATCTTGACTCTTTATTTTGCCAGTACCAAAAGAACTTAACAAATCCAAGTTGTAAAAATCCCATCCGTGCAGAAGAGTATCCTGTGATTGGGAATGACATTTATTCAGCTGTAGTTCTTGATCATAGCACGAAGTCGACGAATTTAAGCTCAGTTTATCGGCTGTGTCTAGTTCTAAGACGCTCCAGTCTCTTCCGCCGTTTCTCCCACTCATAATATCCAGTTCTGGCATTTTATCATTTTCGATTTCTTGCTGCTTGTTCACAAATGCTACCACCCTATTCCAAAGAGCAAAGGTCATGGCTTTGGAGTGGTTTGTTGCATTGGCTAAATCATCAAAAATCTCGTATTCAAAGTCGGCAAACAAGCCACACCATTTTTGACGGTCCTTAACAGCATCGTTGCCCAGACTGCTGTAATTTGGAATTAAATTGTTAATTTCACATTTGTATTGCTTCATGTTCCCTATTTTATGTGTTTGTTTAATATGCACTTCGCAATACCAATGGTATTCCATGCACGGGAGCATGCGCAACGACTACAATGTTTCGTTTCCACGACAGTAGCGTCTACGATCTGAAATGACCAGAATGAAACTCGGCAAATGTAAAAAAGTAATAGGGTTACTGCAGTACATACTTTAGTAACCCTATTAAAATGTAAAAAAGTAATAGGGTTACTGCAGTACATACTTTAACCCAGATTTGCCGTGCGTACAACATATGCTGTTATGTTACAAATTCTGTGTTTACTATTTTTAATTTTGTGTAATGTGCTTGTTGAGACTCTGGGGACTATACCATTTGGTTCTGCAGAGCCTTAGCATACTGATTACAAATTGTAACGTGCAGCAGTAAGCACAGTAACTTTAACATAACAGATATAGTGCATTTTGTATCCTCGGTATATAGTGGTAAATACAGGAATATCCATAGGCCGGTCGATACTTTACTACAACGAAAAACTTCCTTAACTACTGAGTGTAATCTGAAGCCATTTAGTTACATTTTGTGAACATATACTCAGCCCCAATGGAATAATTATTGCAAATTCCACATGGTTACCGCATGACGGCTCAACCGAATTTCGCTTGTTCCCATTCGTCGCAGAAGTTCTTAGTTAGTATATCGCATTACAAATGCATTACATACCTCGGATATTGTTGGAATTTTACATTTATTTCCATGTGCCCATTGTTAATTCTCACATTGTCCCATTTTCCACTTAATTGACCACATAATATATTTCCTGTTACGATGTTCTCACAGTTGGATGAATCGAGACCGTCCTTAAATGAAAGAGATTTTCTTAGTATCAATTGTAAATTAAGCATATCTTACTTACACCCACAAGGCGCTCTTGATCAGTCGAACCACTAGTGACCATATAATATTTTCCTGCACCACTCGGTCCAATCTGCGAACACTCGCCTTCATAATAATATTGATTGGGAAATACTGCAATACATTTTCCAGAAAGTTCGCCGTTGGCAAAAAAACCCTCGAAGTAGTTACCAGATGCAGTGATGCAAATTCCCGATCCAATTCGTTTGTTATCGGCGAACATGCCGAGATATTTTTCTCCAGACATAAGTTGGTGCATTACACCATAACCACACTTGACGTTGTCTTCGAATTCACCAATGTACACACACTCGGGATGTTGCAAGTGTCCGTGACCATGAAAGAAACCATTGCGAAAGTTACCATCATATATCTCCTTCTCGTTCATTATGAGGGTTCCATGGCCCCAAAATTTTCCGTTTTTAAAGTTGCCCTTATACAATCCTATTTTTGGCAGGAACATACGCCCAAAGCCTTCGATAACACCATGAATTATGTCTCCAGCATAGAGTTTACCACTGGGAAACTGGAGTCGGCACTTGCCATGCATCAAGGCATTCGAAAATGTACCTTTTGCATGAACCCCAGAATATACGGCATGAGTGGTAAAGTGATAATATATTAGGCGCACTTCGGGAACTTTCACCTTTTCGGGCAAACGCAGTATGTTTTTAATTGAAGACTCCAACTGGTCATACCAAAGATCGCTGTCAAGTTCACTGCGAGCCACCATCGTGAATTTCTTCTCGGGTGTCTTAATTGTTATGCCAGAATCATCCTTCTTCAACCACACTGCCTCTAGGGGAAATGTAGTTACGTGGTTTCCCACTTGGCACAGACAATCGTTAAATAGAATGAAAACAGGAGTGATTAGTCCCATCATAGAATTGGATAATTTTATAGGTACCGCAGTAGAAGTTAGTATAACACGTCGACTCTTTCGTTTAAAATGAATAATTTTAGAATTTTTCTGGTTCGCTCTCCAGAAATCTCGTGTGTTTTCTGCCAACTCCATGTCAATGCGATTTTTCCGCACAAATTCCAACCAGAACGCCAATTTTTCTTGGTGTTTGTGGTCGCATTTTTGTATTTGCTCTAACAATTGTGTGATAAGTGGAAACAACTGAAAGGGGCCTTTAAAAATTTTCATAATATTTTGTTCATCACCATCGCATGTCGACGACGACGATGAACTCTGGCTTTCAGTTGTTGTATTTGTTGAATATTGCGGAATGTTTTGAAGCACTTGAAAGCCATCTATGGAATACATATCGCAGAAAAGCTTGGAGTAAGTATCAAGTACTTGAATGTATTCCTGAAAATGGGATACTATTACTAATATAGAGACATCTTCATTGCACGACCGATATAGTTGTTCTAAAGAATTCAACAAAACAGCTAGCAACGAAAGCACATTAAGCCACTGATTGCAGATCTCCTGGAACTCTTTCAAAAAAAATTTCTCAACAATCCTCTTTAACTTGAGGAAATTATTCTGCTGCCGAAGCATTACCTTTGTCTGAATTTGAAAATTACTGTATATAGCGGCGAATTGTTTACTAAAATTGTTGTAATTATATATTGTAAGGTTTGAACAAACCAACAGCGAAGGATAAGATACTTGACATTTGCTTGGCGCTGGTCGGCCTGTAGGTAGCTCGTACTGCTGACGCCACACGCAACTTCCCCCATCGTAAACATCACCTTGTGTGGTCAATAGAAAAGTTTTGTTGTCACCACAACAGGCCTCCAAAACACTGCAGTTAGTTACGTTGAAAAAATTCGTTTCTGTTGGACAACTTAGTTCAATGTGTTTTGTTGTTTGTTGTTGAACACTTTCTGTTGTTTGTTGTTGAACACTTCCCCATTGGTAAAAACTCCCGTCAATTGTTCTTACAATAGTGTACTCTTTACCAGTTGAGACACTGCAAACGCCAATGTCTTTTAGCTTTTGCACAGCAAAGATCGAATCGCGTTTAATATGGTCTCCTGTGCCCAGCACGCCATTTTTTGGAGATCCCATAGTGTAAATTTCAGTTTGAAGCAATGTTTGTCCGAGCATGATCAGACGTTGCGTATTTGATTCCAAATCACTGTTTGGAAATGATGAATCTAATGTTGATAACGTTTCACAATCTTCTCTTTGGTAAGGCATATCTAAGCAAACAAGATCTGGTAGTTCTTCTGAAATACATATGATTCTTTCGTTATTGTTCGAAATAAGGGGGAAATTATAAATTACCATATTTGCGCTCCGTCTTCATTGACGTTCTTTCAAATTGCAATCTTTTTCGGGCCAAGAAAACAAAAAAGTTCTTTCCGGCCTTGACATCCAATATATCTACCACTTTTGAAAACAGCCGCACAAATTTCGGTTGATAGCAATCCAGTGATTGAGAGTTAATTCCACAGTTGCCTACAGCATAAATATCAGAATATTCCGACACGAAAATAACACCATCATACGAGCAACAAACTCTTTTAATATTTACACCCTCCTCGGATAATTCAAGGGGATCGAAAGTTACCACCCGCCATTTATCATTCGATACATTTTCCGTATCCCGTAGTGACTGAGCCAAAACAGATCCATTATCCTCTAATACATACAATATACCAAAATCCGGGCAGAACTGAACGTCTTGAACCAGATGTCGAATTAGGGACAGTCGAAGAATTAACTTACGCTCGTCAAATCTGGCCTCGTATAAGGATTTCTGCACAATCAATAGATAATAAGTTGATGTCACGGAGCATATGCGTTGGATTACACAGTGAGTTTGTGAAGAATTGGGAACTGCATCGACTGCGCCCCATTCTATAGAAACCCTCGAACCCTTATAAACTACATAAAAGCCTGCATCTGGATCAACTCGATTTGATTTGTTTTCCATAGTATAATGTATGATGGGATATTATCACATTATTATTATTAATGTGCTTCGCCAGCTTTACACGTTATTACTTCAATTATTTCACAACCAATGGATTTTCAAATATGTCCTAACTTCTTTGGGGGAAATCTTCCGTAATTCACTGGTTGGTTTCTGTAAAAATATTGCGAGTTGCAAGATTTTTGCTCTGGGTTGGTTGGTTTCACTATCTTTGTCTGGTATTGGTTTGTATTGGGTATATCTTGGACAACTACTGGTGCTAATGGCCAACTTGAATAGCACTGCTGTACAATATCACCCTTTGTCTCACGTCGTAATTTGCAAGACTATCCAACAAAATTGTATTTTTCCTGAAAAAAGAAAAAAAAATAAAAAATTATGATCATAATAAGAGTGGTATCTTACCGATAACACCGATAACGTTGACAACAAATTAATTTTTGATTTTAATTGTCCCGAAAATATCGATAACAAAAAAATGTCATAACTTTTATGCCATATACAGACGAACCACACGGAAACAATAACACAAACGCTCGAAGTTGATGTGCGCTGCGCTTCGGAGTTAAATATATTTTAACTTTTTGCGTGCGTTAACGCGATAACAAAAAACGCTCAACGCTAACATTCTGCTTAGCCCTTTAGTTCCCCATACAAAATTGTCTGAGCGAACACCGACTTTTGTACGTTGTTCAATTCGAATCACTCTCTGAATCACCAAGAATTTTGTCCCATCTGTAACAATTGAGAGAATTTATCGAAAATAAATTAATTTTGCCAGCATGAAAAAATTTTTAAATTTTTCAAACTTTTTCAGTAAAATTGAAAATGATGAATGAAAAGTAACCAAAATTCTAGTTTTTATATATGCAGAAGGATGTAAATTTTGTTGTCTACATAATGCATTTCTTTCCCCTTGGTTCTAATTAGCGTACAAAACAAGAAACAAAAGTGGGGAAAACCAACCAAAAATTCTCCAATTTTTTAATTGTGACATTTGTGTTGAGAAAATATAAAAATGTATTGAAAACAACAATATTTTTAGAAAAAAGTGGAAAACATGAATTAAAAGTAAAGAGATAGGGGTTGATATTATAGTCAGGAGAAAGAGAATTATTTTTTCTATTTAGATCAATATGTGATTCATCAAAATATGTTACAATTTTGGTGTAGAACAAGAAACAAAAAGTTTGAAAAAATAAACTCTGATGGAATGAATTAAGAATAGTGTTGTATGAACGGGTTAATTCATGTACGTAATTCTGAGAGCAAACTACGTTGTTCGAATGCCCGTCAGAACATGGCATTAGAGATTTCGCATGTTTTGATGCAGCATCTTCGCTGGTAAGACATTTTCTTGAGGAAGAGTCAAAATCTATACGATTTATCATCATGGTTATCCTACGATTTTTGATTTATCATGTTTTCCTCACAAAATTCTAAAATGCATATCATCATAACAAAGCCATCTATTGGAACTGATCAGTATTTTTGTTTGTTTTGTTTTTAATAGAAATAACACAGACACCATAGATACAAACCATTTAAACAATACTTGTACTTTTTTTGTTTGAACCAACAGATCTTCTGGGGAAAGGGAATACCAAACAAATAATATTTTATATGGAAATCGTGAATTGTATAATATGTTATACTATAATTCAAAATTCAACCTTCATTCCTACATCTAATATCAAGAATACCACCATTTAGTACTCTTCATACACATAATCACTTATTTCCGAAATCTCTTTCTTAAACTCAACTTATATTCTGGTTAAACTCCTTGTACATTATAACTTTTTACCGGGTTAACCTACTTTTACTGTGACATATATGCAAAGGAAATGACAATTGAAACCCACTGGGTTAACGAAATCCGGTTAAATGTAAACGTACTATTAGAACTTAGAACTAAACTTAGAACTTTTTACCGGGTTAACCACTTTATGAGGATTTATTTGACATATATGCAAATGAAATGCCAATTGAAACCCACTGGGTTAACGAAATCCGGTTAAATGTAAACGTACTGTTATTTCCATTATACAGATCCAAAGTGATTAGAATTCCAATTATATATTTTAGCGAATACCTACAGGTTCCACATTTTGTTCCAGTCAGTACTTTTCGAACATATATATAAATCTACTTCTAATTTCACTAAAGTTAGTACCAGTTAGTACCAAACACACTATGGTACCTCTTTTTCTACGTCAATGACCCATATTCCAAATTCTACCTCTTCTCGTTTGTGCCACAATTAGTACTATTCATACTGCTCCCCAAAAGAAATCTTATTTCCGTATTTCAGGATTCAAGCTGCATCCGTTTCCACAAATCCAAATTGCACCCTCTGTAATAGTATTTTTAATTCCAAAAATCAAGATTCCGGGTTTATCCGTTCATCCAAATCCAAGTTGTAAAAATTTTTGTGCTATTTGGTACTTTTCATACATATAAATAACCATGAATTTCCAAAAAAAAAAGTTTAACAATTCAACCTCCATCCGTTCTCCTAAATCTAAAACGAAATTTAGTAAAATTTAAAACTTACAAATAAGTACAAATTTCCATGACTTATTTAATCCAAACATCAACAGTAATTTTTTTTTCAAATTTCAGTTATATCCATACACCAGGCAGTACCAAATTCTATACCATTTAGAAAAATTCGTAACCAAAGGTACGAATTTATCAAATTTCAGTATTCCATCCCTATTCGTTCAGCTAAATCAAAATTGTACCAGTGTTAGTACGATATGTTACTTTTCGACCATCTAATGGTGTTTTTACACGATATGTATTTTACATATGTGCTGTCACTTATTTCATCCATATGTAATTCCGTATGTGTGTCAAAATTAGCAGTGTACACAAAACATTTATTTTTGTGTTCAAATCGGCATATGTATTTTACATATGACATAACCTATAAACAAAAAAACACTTTTATTTTTTCTTAAATCAACATCATTTTTTTTATTAAACACCTACAAACGAAATAATAATTTGTAGTTGTTGCCTTTTCATCCTTTTTTTTTTGAATTGCAATTGAAATATTTTCTTCCAACAATGTGTTTCATTCAAACAGCTGATTTCCTTATGTTTCACATATGAAAATAGAGCGCGTCCTATTCAGAAAAAAATACATATGTAATTGCATATCGTTTTGACACATTGAAATTTCCGTATGCTTCACATGACGAGTTCGATTTCCATATGTAAAAAAGTGACAGCACATATGTAAAATACATATCGTGTAGAAACACCATAAGAACGAATTTCCAAAACTATCTTTATATTTCAATCCTACACTCCAAACAGTAATTTGAATCAAATTTCAGCTCGACCTAATCTAAATTGTACCAAGTTTAGTCCATATAGTACACATTATTACGAATTGTCGGAATCCATATTCATGAGTCAATACTTAATTCAAACAGTAATTTTAATCCCAAATTTAAGAATTCAAATCCTATCTGTACACCCAAAAACTTTTTGTTCGGATAAGTACGAATTAAATAACTACCTTAACCCTACAATCCAACAATAATTTTAATTCCATTGTATTGGTTCTAGCTCTATCTAATATTAGTACACACAAGTACGATTTTGCAATATTCCAAAAACTTGTACCAAACTTAGTACGAGTTTTCAAAACTACCTCAATTCTACCCTCCGACTGTAATGTTTATTGGAAAATTCAAGACACCAGCTCTATCTGTTCACACAAAATCAAATAGTACCAATTTTAGTACTCATATCTCAGTTCTACATTACAACAGTAATGATTATTCCAAATTTCCAGCCCTCTCTGTTACCCAAATCTAAATTGTTCCAAATTTACTACATTTAGCACTATTCGTACACTTATTTTTGAATTAAAGTTCACTTCGCCGTTCATACGCAAGAGAATAAAAACGGCGTACTCTCTGAAATAGAACTCACTGAGTAAATGTTACCGAAAAAAGTAACCAGACACAGCTAATGTCATCTAAAAGAGACATTTGTTATTGGAGTAAAAATTGTACATTCGTGTAGGCTCATACGTTCATTTTATTGAATGTTTAATTGAACTATCTAAGGCTATGTTGGAAATTTGTCAAAAGAAACATATGCTACTGGGATTAACTCTGCTTGTGGCTCTGACCGTTTTTGTACTAATAATAGAGTCACGATTAGATATTGGTGGCCCTGCAGCTCGTAAACCACAATTTGTTATAGAAAATAATTCGACGTGCTGGCTTCGAGAGAAATATACTGTCGTACAAGAATGCCACAAATGCTCCGAGTTCGACCTGGTGAGCCGCAGTTTGGGCGTGTGTATTCATACGAAATATAAAGAGCTGCTGCGTTGCAACGACAGTGGGGAGATTGTTATAAAAAGTTGCGATAGAATAGTAGCTATTGACCAGAAGAACTTTCTACACTTCGAGGTGTGCTGTTTCGTTTTTGGTATATTGACCTATTTTCTATCCTTTGCTCGTAATCGAATTCTATCAAGAAGGACCCACCAGAAACTGGAGAGACAACTTAACCGAACGTAAAATGAACAGTAATCACGAAACAACTACATTGGAATGTGCTATTTTATTAAGTTTGGAAAGGAAATAAAAGACAAATAATATGTAGTATCTCATGTATGTGTTTGATTTGCGTAATAATATATTTATACGAGATTTTCGCTTACTTTCGCCAATTTGAAATCAAGTCTGGCTCCGTAGAGTTTATTTCAGCGGATGGACTGGGTAAACTCTGAAAATCTGTAGACTTTTGTGGAATGGCTTCAAACTCTGTGTTAGATGACATAGTTGAATTGTTTCCGTTCGATTTTAAAGATGTGTCTGTCATGGGAAGTGGTTTGGCAACTCCTATGCGAACAACGCCCTTGGGCGCACCTTTCAGAGCTTGTACTGCCTGATCCAAGGTAGCGTTTTCCAAGTTAATGTTATTAACGAACAACAAACGGTCGCCCGGTATAAGACGACCATCCAACTGGGCTACTCCACCTGGCACGAGGGAACGTATTACAATCAAACAATCGTTGGAATCCATTGGGTCTTGGTAGTCAAGAATCGAAAATCCCAATCCTCTATCTCCTTTTATTAGTTCAATAATTTGGGGTTCTTCCGACCACATTGCTAGGCCAGTTAATGGCTCCAAAGAGCGCGATTTCAATTTAAATGACTCGTCAGATGTTGGCGATGATGTAGCTAGGTTTCCATCTGATTTTGCTTTTACTAGTCTATCAGAGCCCGGAACCAGTTTCTCTAAATTACTTTCCAACTTCTTCAAGGTGTCATCAGAAAATGACATTAACTCTGTTTTGCTACGACCACAAACCATACGCACGTCAATGGGAAGCTCCTTCAGAATTGCTACCACCTCCAAGTGATTCATACCGAATAACCGTTCGCCGTTTACCTCTAACAACTCATCGCCAGCACGTAATTTCCCATTGAGTCCAACAGGACCATCAGCTAATATAGAACGAATATAATGATGTGGTCGAACCTCCCGTCCCCCTTCCACATCTACAGTACCTTCAAGAGATATTCCAAGGCCACCGACAGGAAATTTTTTGATTTGAGCCACCACCACGTCAACATCATTTCCAACAATTTTCTTCCATTTGCGTATGATTTCTTGTTCTACTTCCGGACTAAGTTCAGGATCAGTATATTTCTGTCGCGTGATTAGTACACTATTTTTTGCATGAAGCGGCTCCTGAAAAGAATGCTATTATTAACAATACTAGAATAAGTACCCCTTTATACTAACATCAAACACGATTTGGTCGCGTCCATGGTGTTCAACTATATCTGTTGATATTAATTTTTTTGTCATATCCTCGAGGACTTTGGGAACAAGAACGGACTTTCTATCTGTGCCAAAGGTAGTCATGTTTGTGGGTTGATTATTACATATATTATGTACATTGGAGTTGGGTATATTAAAAGCTTCAGGCTCGGTGGCGAATACATTTACGCTGCTAGCAGATAGTGTATCTCTTGCTGCTGAGGCCCGTGACGGAGTAGATGGAACACTGGAGGGAAGCTTGTCATTGGCAGCAATAGCCTGTTGAAGTTGTTCGTACTTAGGACCTCTCAAATAACGTTCCAATCTTAGATTAACCACTGTTCCTGACTGCTTCAAGAGTTCGACAGCCTGGTGATTTGTAAAGCCCTGTAATGATTGCCCATCTACCTCAATAATGCGATCGTTGACACGTATACGGCCATTTATGTCTGCTGCAGATCCCGGAGATACGCTTTTAACAAATATGCCAGATAACTCTTCCTTTTCACACACATATCCAGCAATAGTGATGCCCAAGCCGTTAGCATCCTTTTTGAGTTCCACTTGCAACTTTTCTGTTTCAGGTAATTCCAAATGTTCCAAAATTGGTTTTGATCCTCGGTATACAAATCGTTCATCTTCTGTAGTCGTCTGTGGAGTTGAAGCATTTGAACTCTCGCCAAATATTTCCGGATAGCCAGTTGATATTAAGTATCGCTCTAGTTCAGCACGATCTACCAAAACTCTGGCAGGAACTATAGCACTCCCAGGCTCCAAATTAAATCCAACTGGGGAGGGCTGTTCAATTGCTCGACCAACAACTAAACGTACATGTGTTCCAGATTGCCTTAACACAGCTGCAACTTGTTCCGATACCATTTCTTGCAAATTTACGTCACCGATTTGCAAAATATGGTCACCTGACCTCAACCGGCCGTCCCTGTCCGCAACTCCCCCAGATAATATCGTCTTTACTATCACGCCAGAGTTTCGCGCCCCTATAATACCGAATCCTAGACCTGTGCCATCATTGACCAACTCAATTGCTTGTATTTGCACGTAGTCCGTGGGGAATAATTCGACTCCCGACAAAGAAGGCATTTTAGAATGGTGGTGCTCTGACATCACATTGTCAGCGACTTCAGTCGCTTTGCTACTGCTAGGACTATTAGCACCTGAGGCGCTATTAAGGGGAGTAGACAGTCGTTCGTCAAACTCATACATAACATCGCCACCACCATTGACGCTTAAAACCAAATTCCCTGCCATATCAATGTCAAAGTCATTTGGCAACATCGAGGGATGCTGCGTTAACTGAGCATTCAGTTCAGACAGTGAATCCTGAACATGCACTATCGAAATAAACACGGGGTCTTGTAAAATATCCAAAATTGTTTTGAGACTCTCAGCAGTTTGGCTTTGTAATTTGGGGTCATCGCTTTCATCAATGACCCTTTTTACTGCCTCAATTTGCTGGAGTGCGCTGGATATGTCCGCATTCAAATGCATTGCACTAACTGGTATATTACAGTAGGAAAATGTGATAATCCTTAATTTCAGCTTTAATATGTATCCACTTTTAATGTTAAAGTTGTTTGGAAAAAAATCTGGGGAAAAATTAATTGGATTAACTTAGTTCTTCTTCTTACTTTTCTGTACTGAGAGTTGACAGCTTACCAATGCAAAGTGAGTAATAAACACGTAACGCCGTATTGGTTTCGGTGTGTACACACTATGACTTTCATGGTAGGCCATAGCAACTTATAAATTACAATTTTTTCATATTGTTGCTTTTTATGTCAAAGGCATATACAAAATGTGTGACTGTGTATGTGATGTTTTGAAAAATTTATAATAAAATGTATTTCTTTCAAGATACATTTTACGACATTTGAAAGAAGAAATGTATGATTTGAGGATGAATCAATCAATGAATTAAAAAAAACCTGACATTACATTCATTTTCGCGTTTTTGGTAAAATGTTACAAATATATCAAACGACTTGTTACTTTTGTTTTTATTTATTCTGACATTATAGTCCACAAGATAGAGGTGTATTTTCTCATTTCTGACAAAAGCTACCCTACCTTGTATAATTGTACCATGCGCATATCATGGGTATATTAATTAATATTTTGAGTTCCCTTATAAATATAAGTTGTTACTAACCATGGTTAAATCTTGACTGCAATATTCAGCTTTAGAAAATTTCTTTTGTTTAAATTTATGGAATATATTTTTCATATTTCAATATTTATAAATATAAATTGTTTTGCAATTTTTGCCGTTGAACACATGATATGAGTAAATTTCGAAGAAAGATATTTTCATTTAAATTTTGAAAGCTGAATACTGTCAAAGGCAAATTTATGAACAAATTGGAAACATATAACTGCATGAGACTACCATGTATAATTATGCCATTATTTATGTCCTGATTTATATTAGGAGAGTTTACTTGCGGCAATTTTTATCGTTCTGTTTTGAAGTTGCTTCATTCGTCTATACAAGGCAATTCGATTTCAAAAATATTTATTTTTTTACATTTTGTGACAATGTTTTAGATTGGTATTTCAAATTACTGACACTACAAACAAAATACACAAAACGAATTGCAAGTAAATTGCCGGTACGAGCAATTTTTTTTTCAATTTCTATTCCCTTTCAAACAAAGACTTGCCGCAATTAAAGTCGCCTAATATAAATTGGGACTATAGGCCATGTTCAAAAGTCGACTTCGATTTTAGACTTTTCAATACCATGGCCTATAAATAAAATATATAAATTTATATATATAATATATAAATTTATATATATATATATATAAGATCTATTAATAAGGTCACCAAGATAGCAATCGAAATCGGAAAACAGCTGTTTTTTCTCAATATCAGAACCACAGACATTAAATTCCATATGTATAAATCTATAACATAAATGTTAACGAACTTAAATAAAAAAGGGCTCCCCAGCCAAAAATTAAAAAAAAAAACAAAGTAACATTATGTAACCTGTAATCAGCGATTTCTTCAAAGCCAACTTCATCAAATACGAGACAAATGCCCAAACAATTCCCTCCTCTACGCAAAAGTGGAAGAGGTAAACTTACGAAGGCTCAAAGGGAGCTGATTCCACGATCTTACGACACTAACTACAAATGATCTTTCACAAATTGCAGACAAAAACCTCGGATACAACAACTGAGGGTTCCGAGAGGATCTACACATCACAAACCTACTACACAATGGGAAATCAACATTTCTCATAATTCTATAATAACACAAAAGAATACGATATTCAACATAATTATAAAAGGATAGGCCAAGAAATTTAACAACAAATTGGGAAACATGATGACTACGACCCAAACCATATACATAACGAACAATGGAGTTAACAACCTTTTGGAGCCGATGCAAATGGCCAGAATTAGAGCCCGAGATAACCTCCAAACAATAGTTAACCTGAGACATCAACAACGACATAGCCACCTTCACCCTAACGCCAAGAGGCAAATATGATTGGACACTATAAAGCCTCCTAAGCTGGAATCGCACACGGGACAACAGAAGATCAATGTGGGTCGAAAAACTATGTTTGGCATCAATAATTACACCCAGGCACTTCATTTCACCAACAATATTAATAGTAAAGGAACTAACGCAAATATTAGGCATAGAACCGTCATAGCAACAATTGAACAAAACAGCTTCAGTCTTATCCCAGTTTATATCAAGACCATTGGAAGAGATCCACATAGAGAGAGATTGCAACGTTGTGTTAGCCAGATTCTCCAACCTGGCGAGATCAACACTCTTAAAGAAAACATGTATGTCATCCGCATACAAGAAGAGACTACAATCACTAGCAGTAACAGAATCCATGATGTCATTAATGAACATAATAAAAAGTAATGAGCCCAGTACAGAACCCTGCGGGACACCACACCGGATTAGACCAACATCAGATTGGACACCCTTGTGCACAACAAACTGGGATCTACACTCCAGATACGACGAAATTAGTCTACAGGCCGAAATGGAAAATCCAAATTTTACTCTAAGCTTGAGAATAAGCAGCGCGTGGTCAATTGAATCAAAGGCCTTAGACAAATCAATACCAACAAGAAGACCAACATCAGAACCATCAAAAACATCACGAATAACATCAGTAAGGGATAATAAGTGCACACTAGTACTGCAGCCACGCCGAAAACCATACTGAGAACTACTCAGGCATTTGTGATCATCAAGAAACTCCAAAATAGCATCTTCAATAATATGCTCTACTATCATAGACATGGCAGGCAATACACTTATTGGGCGCAAGTTAGACTGACTGTATGAAGACCCTTTCTTCGGAACAGGCACCAGACGAGCCACCTTCCAAGCTTGCGGGAAGGATGACGTCATAAAAATACAATTAACAAAATGCAAAAAGTGAACAAATATGTATGGAAAAACACTCTTAAAAAAATTAATAGGAATGCCATCAAAACCTACAGCTCCAGACTTAATTTTGCAGAGAGCACTTTCAACATCCTCCATAAACACGCAGTAAAACCTAAATGACTCTCGAACAAAGGCACCATCAATTCCTACCCTCACACCAGGATTAGATTTGCCCACATTACAAAAGTAATCATTAACAGTATTAACATCAATAAAAGGAACATCATCACCACAATCCAGACAACCAAAGGACCTAAGAGACTTCCATAATTGACTACTGTTCATACGACCGAACAACTTTTCATAATATTTTCTTCTTTCATTACGCATAACAGCTTTGCAACGATTTCTGCAGATACAATATATAGTCTATTGTCATCAGTAGGCCTTCTGCGCCATTCAAAGTAAGCTAAATCCCGAATTGAACAAGCTGACTTAACCACATCAGAATTCAACCACTCATCATTTTTGGGGTTAACATGACGAGTAGCAAGAGGAACAAAAAACAGCAAACTCTGAAATAACGTCTCAAACAAGGCCAGTTGGCTGTTTACGTTACTAGTGATATACAGAGGATACCCACCCAATCCGCATTACAAAAATCAAGATACTCAATTACCTTCTCTTCAGCAACTACAGGCAAATCAATCATCCCAAAGATAAGCGCATGGTGAGATATGCTAGGGCATTGTCCCTGCGAGGAAAAGCCCAGCCGCATGGGATCACTGATCAAACAATAGTCAATCAGCGAGGTAGAACTATGAGCAAGATCAAAGTGCGTAGGCTTGGAATTGTGGACAATAGAAAGCCCAAGAGACCTACATATGCCCCGCATCAACGTAAATTTCGAAGATTTAAATAAGTTACAATTAAAATCACCACAGACAAACACATTTGCATATGAATCAAAAATACCCTCATGAATGCTACGAAAGGAATCTACATCTCCCTGCGGCAGGTATACAACGGCAACAAGCAACGTATATGCACCGAAACACAGCTCGACGCACAAAGACTCGCATACACCATAATGATCCGATTTAAAAACCACCTTATATGACAATCTGTCACATACATACAACATAACACCGCCACCTACACGGCCAATGCGGTCACTACGTAGAGCCTTATAGCCAGGAACTCTCAATGACCTCGATGAGACAGCTGAGTTAAGCCAAGACTCAGTCACACCAAAAAAATCAATTCCACTGCCAACAAGTAGACACTTTATCTCATCCAATTTGTTATTGAATCTAGACGGACGAATGCTCTGACAGTTCAAATGGGCATACGTAAGCTTACCACCACCACAATGAATGTTCTGCCTGCTGCTCGAACCTAGTTTTCGTTCCATCAGGAAGAAGAACTTCAACCAAGGGCTGATCACCGTTAAGCAGCTTAAATTTTCTAATATGCTTCCTTTTAAGCAAATCTCTACAGGCATAGATAAAAGGTCGTTTACATTGAACCGGATTTGGTTAACCCAGTGGGTTTAAATTTTCAATTCCTTTGAATATATGCCAAATAAATCCTCATAAAGTAGGTTAACCCGGTAAAAGGCTCTAATATAAATGCCGTATAAGTTTGGAGGTCGACTTAATTAAGTGATCATTTATAAACACTCGAGACTCCACAATGCAATTCTCAATTACTTCCTTCCGAAGAATACGACCCTTTTTAGAGTAATTACGCATCAGTGAATCTCTATCCTGTACAGAGTTAAATTTCACCAACACCGCTCTACGGTCAGATATGTAACAACAGTGCTGCAAATCTCTAGGCACCAGTTGCATCCCACAAACCTTAGCAATATTTACAGTTAGCGCTCTAAGGTCTTTTATATTGTCCGGCAATCCTCTAATAATGGCATTCGATCGATTCAGTCTGCGCTGGAGCATAGCATTATATAATTCCAATTAATGGACTCTATCTATTAACTTCTTTTCCACACTAATAGAAGTGTTTTTCATTTCACTGACAGTTAACTTCAGATCACAAACGGACTGCTTCAGCTCAGTGATATTGCTCTTCACCTCAGAAAATTCAGCACTGTACAATTCAAAAAGAGCATCTGTTTGGGATTTAAACTCCTGCATACACTGTGTCATGTAAGCATCCATCTTTAGCTTCATGGTAGATAACATATTCTGCAAACTACGTAAGGCATCCGCATTAACAAGTGCAGCACTATTATCAATAGAAGCACTAGAAACAGGCATCACACCAGCAACCGAACTAACACTAGCGCCACGATCAACAACACCAGCCACACCATCACCACCAGAAGCACGGATACATGTAATGCACGTATATCTAAGAGCCTTATTAACTCGAGCCTTACTTTCAGATACACCCACACAATCCAACTGGAAGTAATTTGCACAGTCGGTGCATCCAATTTTGTATTTAGATTTTGCAATATGTTCATTGCAGACATAGCAAATACACTGCGACGGCATCTTCAGCAAAATAAACGCCAAAAAAAAAAACTGCAGCAACACGGAAAACCCAGCCAGAAAACCTTTCAAGGATCACCAAGAATATATTGCTACTTAAATATAGCCAGGAACAACCGAATAAAACTCAAATTTCAAAACTTAAATTATTTTCCTTAAGAGCGCCAAAATTTATAGATTATCCATGTTGTTGAACCAAAAAATTAAAAAACAAAATTATAAATGAAAATCTCCGAATTTCGAAAAGATTTTTTGGCAATACTTTTATTAACATTTTCTACAAGAATTTGTGTAAAAAAATCTTGTCAATCTGTTTGTTTTGGCAAAATATTTTTGACATATCAAAATACAACAACCGATGTTTGTTGTAGAAATTCGCCGATGCGGCTACCTTGTATATCAAGATCTATTAATAAGGTCACCAAGATAGCAATCGAAATCGGAAAACAGCTGTTTTTTCTCAAGTCTAATGTCAAAAATTTCGACTTTGTTTACGTTTTCATAATGGAAGTCAATTCACAATAATGCATTTTGACAGCAAACTTGAGAGGTATCGATAATCAGCTGGTCTCCCTTGGTGACCTTATTTATAGGCCATGTTGTATATCTACCTTGATCTTGTTCTATACAAAAACTCGATAAGTCGAAAGTCGATTTACATATCCCTAGATTCAATTCTGCCCATGGCCTATAAATAAGGTCACCAAGATAGCAATCGAAATCGGAAAACAGCTGTTTTTTCTCAAGTCTAATGTCAAAAATGTAGACTTTGTTTACGTTTTCATAATGGAAGTCAATTCACAATAATGCATTTTGACAGCAAACCTGAGAGGTATCGATAATCAGCTGGTCTCCCTTGGTGACCTTATTTATAGGCCATGATTCTGCCAAAGCAAGATCTATTAATAAGGTCACCAAGATAGCAATCGCAATCGGAAAACAGCTGTTTTTTCTCAAGTCGAATGTCAAAAATTTCGACTTTGTTTACGTTTTCATAATGGAAGTCAATTCACAATAATGCATTTTGACAGAAAACTTGAGAGGTATCGATAATCAGCTGGTCTCCCTTGGTGACCTTAGTCTTGATTTAGATTAGGCGAGTTTACTTGCGGCAATTCTTGTCGTTCTCTTTTGAACTTGCTTCATGCGTCTATACAAGGCAATTCGGTTTCCAAAATATGTTTCTATTTGTTGTTTTTTCACATTTAAATATATATAAAACGTCAACAAATACGAAATACACAAAACAAATTGCCAGAAAATTGTCGGTACGAGCAATTTTTTTTATTTCTATTCCCCTTGCCCCTCTCTCCTACAAACAAAGACTTGCCGCAAGTAAACTCGCCTAATCTAAATTAGGACTTATTTATAGGCCATGCCATGGCTTGCCATGGTTTGCTGTCAAAATGCATTATTGTGAATTGACTTCCATTATGAAAACGTAAACAAAGTCGATATTTTTGACATTAGACTTGAGAAAAAACAGCTGTTTTCCGATTTCGATTGCTATCTTGGTGACCTTATTTATAGGCCATGGGCCATGCCAAAGACTCTTTGACTCTGTAGTCGACTCACATCCACATCAGAAACTCTTTTATGTGTTTAATATATAAAAATGATTTGTCGTTTATGTCTCAACGACATACAAAATCTTATTAATATTTTCGACTCTGCTGAAGGATACAACATTGCTTGTGTTATTGGAAAGTACTTCTGGTTTGAGGTAAACAACAGAACAATTAACATGTTACGCATTCCCTGCGATATTGGCTTCATTTTATCAAAAACGTATATCGTATATTTCATTTACATTTGCTTATAGCCTCGAAGTGATGATCCCATATCTACGGGAATATGCTGCCAATGTTATAGGAAATTAGGCGATTTTCATGATTTTTTTCTTATGGTGGAGAAGGCCCACCGTCACATGACGGAGAGATTTGTTGTCAAAACGGAAAATGCCAAATCTAAACCCCGATCCATGGAAGATATTTTTAGTTTCCATTCATTGCCAAAACCCGAACCTGATGAACATGAAATCAACTGCCACGTTCCGCTCGACATACTGATGGAAAATACAACAGATCTTGAGAAAACTTTTGAAGAGGCTGCCGCCATTGCGTTAGGTGATCGCGATGATGACAGATCATCGCTGCGCGACGAAATTCTTGATAACGCAGATAGCCAATGCGAAAGTCCGAATGAGTTGTCATTTGATGGAGAGGATTTTATGAAGAAAATTCTTAATAACGGCTCTGTTGATAGCAAACAAGGGATTTCTAAGATACCTCAAATAAGAAGATCCACCAGACATAAGTATGCTACTGCAAATGAAAAACAGACACACAACGGTGTCAACACAGCCAACAACCAGAGAGGTCGTCCCAAAAAAGTTGTCGACGAATCGAATACGAATCAGCAAGATAATCGAATGCAATCCGATGAAAAAACCCGACAGTACAAAGTCAAAATGAAGGAAATAGACGCCCAAATTGGTCAATACATGACACTGCAGTGTGACGCTTGCAGCACGGAAACTGAAAACTTTGCAAGCTTGCGAGTTCATATGCGGAAACATGGAATTAAGAGGGGCTATGCAAAGTGTTGTAACAAGAAATTTTTCAAGAGGGCCCTTCTATTGGATCACATTCGCCATCATTTGGATCCGGAGTACTTCAGGTAGGTGTGGCTGAATTGTTTCTAATAATAGGCGCTAATTATATAATCTGTGTTAGATGCGAGGACTGCGACCGGGCATTTGTGGATCGACAATCAATGCGTAACCATTTCCTTCTTAAACACCAGAAAGAAGAGGATAAGATATTTGAATGTCCACAGTGTTCAAAGAAATTTGCTAAGAAGTATCTTTTGGAACAGCATAAAATGTTTACACACCGTGACCGAAGCACAACATGTAAAAATTGTAATAGAAGGTATTTTTAAATATTGGAATTTTACTACTATTCTAGACACACCTCCACTGCCACTTTAGGTTCGAAACAATCGAAGAATTGGTAGAACACGGTAAAGAACATTGTCATTATGGCACGATGTGTGACATTTGTGCTAAGGTTATACGTGGACCTGCCGCATTTAAACGACACCAAATGGAACATCAGGGCGTAACTTTCCCTAAAGTACAATGTGATATGTGTGGATCATGGCACAAAGATAAATACGCCTTAAATAAGCATAAAAAGCGTCATTTAGAAGCGAAACAGTCTCATGTTTGTGATATTTGTCGAAAGGTAAGAAAAACATTTTCTTTTTCTATTTATGCTACGACAATGTTTTGTAGGTATCGCCGAGTCGAACAGCTATGCTAAGCCACAAACGGTATGTACATGGCTCCGACAAAGTCTACAAGTGCAGTATTTGTAGCAAAACCTTTAAGAAGCCGCTGTCTTTGAAGGAGCATATGACAGTGCACACTGGTGAGGTCCTCTACCGTTGTCCTCATTGCCCCAAGACGTTCAATTCTAATGCTAACATGCATTCCCATCGAAAGAAAATTCACCCAAGAGAATTTGAAGAAACACGAAAAATACGAAAACAGAATGCCCACTTGAACCAACCGCCAATTCCTCCCATTTCTGTCCTAAGTAATGCCAAAACCGACACACAAGCGCTTCTCATAATTGATACAGCCGATACTGAAGAAACCCACAACGTTCTACTAACTACATCCCCAGCGGAAGAAATGTACAGCACCGAGGAAATCTCAGATTTATCTTGCAAAGATAAAAATCCAATTATAATATATACATTAAGCTAGACTGTACAATTTGTAGGCCTTATAAATTTTTTTATTTTATCCTTTTTGGTTTCTTATAAATTTTAACTAATAGGTACATATGTAACCTTTAAAATGAATATACATATGACATACTTTAAGCTTGATAAATATATTTTATTACTGTTTTAATGGACGAAGTCAAAGAGTTCAAAACTGCCCCCCCAGGGGGGCAGCTTTGAACTAGAGTTGCCATTTTTGAACATGTTTTTTACAGTATTTATGTTCAAATATGTATGTATTTTATTCATACATATCAAAAATGCATTTATTCATTAAAAAATATATAAAAAATGTTCAAAATTTAAAAAATTTAGATCAAAATTTATTAAAACATAAAATGACTTAAAAACAAAAATTAATATGGTGAAAAATACAGTTAATTTCGTAATCTTATTAGCCCATTTGAAATTTTGAGAAATCGAAGCCAAAAGTTAAAAACTCCGTTTTTTACTCGAGTTTAATGGGCATGTTGAAAGGTGCCCCACCCATGGCATTTTACGGAAATTTATAATAACTTTTTTGTAATAAATATATATGAAAGAAATTACATTAGTTATGTTGGAAATGATTATTGGAATGCAAAAAATTTGTTTGACAAAAGAAAACTATCACAGAATTCTTCCAGCGCCCTTACAACCAAATGAATAAAAGTTTACAAAGACACTGTGAAAACATGGTCACCCACGCGCAATTTGTCGACAACTGAAAAGGCAAGCCAACGTGGTTTACGCAGATAGAGAACAAGATTGCCATATACAAAAATGTGGTTGCGGGTCGGAAAAATTTTAAAAAATTTATTCAAATAGACTTTTTTTAACATAGTATCAATATTCCTAAATACAACTTATTTAAAATTATGAGCAATATCATTTGAAAGTTTTGTATTCATTGTCCGATTAAATCAAAATATTCATACTATTCACTGTCTAGAACTACAAAGGAATGCCTACTTTTAACATTCATGGTTCTTCTTTACCACGCCTATGCATTCCCTTGTAATTTATTTAGGGGAATAATAATTTATAAATAAAAATATGTATTATTACTAAAGATTTATATTTATAAATAGTTACAGTGAAAATGCATGTCCGGTCAGATGTGTTAGTATTACTAGCCCCTTTCACATATAATTTCAACGGCATTCGGTTCCATTAGAGTAGATTCCAGGCATCTGTGGACGGCCGAACCCAAAATTTCATCCAATAAATAATTGATCAAACTGAAAAATAAATGGTATGCAATGATGTAGAATGTGATATAATTCAAAATGTTAACCCACTTCTCGTCCTTGACGAACCGCCATAAATTCATCTGTAAATAATGGGTATCAACCTGGATCTGTTGTAAACCAAATTTGCTGAAAGTACGCACTCGAACGCATTCTAGAAAAGTCTATAAAAAAAAATTATTAGGTCGGCTATTGCTTAGCAACAGTTTATATTGGGGTACCTTTAAGCCAATTTTAATTATGCCTGTAACTATTGAGACCTTTGAAAATTCCACTGATGTGAAAATTTCTATCTTTTCTGAAAACAGCCTGTGAATATTGGAAACATAGGAGGATTCTAGTTGCGATGGAGTGTAGTTGGACCAATTGGAACGGAATTGCTGTTTCGAGCCAGTCATGTTACTAAAATGGGTCTTACGACTTGAGTCACTGCTGGCTGTTGTGCGTTCGTGCTGTTGCGGCTGTTGTTCATACAAACTGGCTACAACGGTCTCTATCGATGACATTTCCTCGACAACTCTTTTCATCACAGCCCGCACTGTTCTCGGCTCAAGACAGTTGAGCCAATCGCGTGTCTCGACGCTTTTGCGTAACATTTGTGAAATATTCAGGCCCTGTAAACGGACATAATTATCAAGTAGATTCTGAGCGGTTTCTCTCATTTCAGCGCAAATCTCCGTTTCATGTGTTAGTGTAGTGCTATTCTCAGAATCTATTTCGTACAAATCATCCACTAGGCTGACCTTTAAATTGTATACAGTTTATCAAGGACATCCATTCAATTAAAAAATGTCACTTACTAGTACATGTATGCCATTTTGTTCCATTTCCAAACACGTTTTTGACAGCACTAACAACAAGTTGGGCGGACTAGATGTGGATGAGTCGCCAAAACTATTTATTACTCTTGAAATGTGACGCAGAAACCCAACCAAGAGGTTTTCGCGTATACCTTCGACGCAAAGAGCTCCTTTATAGTCACATTTTATGTTGAAAGACCAATCAGTTTGAAGAAAAACTAATAGATCCTGTAGAACGCCTCGCACTTTTTCCATGAGCGTTACATAGAGACTGGTTATAAGATCATTTAGATGTGCACCCGATACTATGGCGTCGCTCTTCGTGGAAACCAGCGAAAGGCGAACAGAACTCAAACTATCGGCAAAATGGTCTCTAAGGTTCTTGGAATGTGTCTGAATTAACTGATGTGCCGCCGATATAATAATATCTATGGTATTTCTTTGGATTTCGAGACCACAGCAAATATTGCGCATAGCTAGTAACCGTCGATGTAGACGATCCAATGCTCTGAGCATAATGTGTGTGTCGCCGAGACCTATGTCCGATTCAACTCGGTCCTGGACGAGCGTCATATACTTATCTATGTTGTCGTTCAAAAATACGTTCAGCTCTTTTAACGTAAATTCCTGGAAATCATCCCTTTCCTTATCATAGTGCTTCGCTACGAACATGTCGTAATAGGCCGTAACTACCAATGTTAGATCGCTGAGGAAACCATCGATGCCCAAGTCAACGAATTCGATCATATCACGTTCGGTTTGATCTTGAAGCATAACAATATGCTCGTGCAGTCGCTTTGAAGCACAAACTAACATACCCGATGCCAGATCAGACGGCCTATCACCCAGTTGTAGCAGTAGCTCCCCAATTTTTGTTAAGGTTTCTGCCGTCTTTCCCGTTATATAAAACTCCGATCTTAGCTGCTGCTTTAGATCTGTCATTATTATGTCGCAGTCTTTTCTTATGCCATCAAACGATGGCTGTTGCCCATATTGTTCAAAAACCTTCTTTGCATGCAAGTAGTCTTGTACACATTGCACATAGTTTTGCTCCTCTATGTGTCCCTTCAATTTGGCCGGCAAGGATGATAGGAACTGCAAGCGTTTCAGCAACGAGTGCTTTTCCGAAAGTTTACACAGCTGTGATCTTGTACCTTGAAGTGTTCCCGTTATCTGTTCACTAAAATTGGTGATTGTACCCATCTTCTCTTTCAACAAGTTCATATCGGTTTCCATCTGTTTGAAGTCATTCTTCATTCTGCGTATAGTATCGGTTGCCGAGATGAATTTATTGTAGTTTTCATAGACCAACGTTTGCATATCTGAGTGTAAAGTCTGTGTATCTTTTACAACAGCTGCCTCAGTGTCCATTATCTGTTTCAGCGAATAATCCTATAAGAAAATTTCTCTAAGTATATATATGAAGCTTATGAATGACTTCTGCGTAACGCAAAGTTGTATTTAGGGGGACATCTCGGATTTATGGTCGATGAAGGTAATATTGGTATTGCTATAAAGCATATACATTTTATTTAAATATAAAATGTTCGAAAATAGCCTGTGGTAAATATCGTAGATGAGCCCCTAAACTTAACTTATGTCAGCAAGTGTCTTTAATAAGATATTACTTGCTACTTGCCTTCAGCAGCTTTTCCAAATACTTCTCCGAGTCGAAGGTCGTTGAGTCCATGTCATAAGGACTACCTGTTGTTGTTTTATCATCCATTGTTATCTTCCTGAATATTTTATTATTTTCTAAAAGTCAATATTTTTAATACATTTCACTTAGAAAATTATGTTTTTTCAATTTGTTAATATTTTTATTCTATACTCAATGTTGTGTACCCCGCTTATTTGTCTTATTCGTCGTACTTCCACACACTGTCCACTATTTGCAAATGCCTTCTGATATATTGATAAAAAAACGTTCCACAGATATCAAGATCTATTAATAAGGTCACCAAGATAGCAATCGAAATCGGAATGTCTGCTTTTCCACAGGCAGATTTTTATTTGGCAAATTTTTTGTTTTCCCTTTTGAAATTTTCGCTTGCTTTTCCATTAGCAAATTTTTCTTTGCCAAATTTGCGAATCAAAATACAAAAGAAAGAAAATAAAAGTCAAAAGTGCTTGCATTTTAAAGATTTTAATATTTTATTTATTTTTTATATATTTTATTATATAAATTGCAAAAATTAAAAATTAAATTTCACTTGCACAAATTAAAGCAACAGGTTTGTAAACAAAAGCCGGCTGTGTGTCAGTAAATCGAATAGGTTCAAAAGGAAATGTCAACAAAATTGTTTTCAACGAACAGAGAAAAGCAGAATTTGCGTGTACGGCAAATTCTGAACAGGCAAATTTTTGATTTTCTTGCTCGCACCCCTCTCGCCTACAAACTCAGTATTTGCCAAATAAAAATTTGCCTGTGGAAAAGCAGACAAAACAGCTGTTTTTTCTCAAGTCTAATGTAAAAAATGTCGTCTTTGTTTACGTTTTCATAATGGAAGTCAATTCACAATAATGCATTTTGACAGCAAACTTGAGATATATCGATTATCAGCTGGTCTCCCTGGGTGACCTTATTTATAGGCCATGACAGATATCTATTAATCATAGCCTATAAATAAGGTCACCTAAGGAGACCAGCTGATAATCGATATCTCTCAAGTTTGCTGTCAAAATGCATTATTGCATTATTGCTGTCAAATGCATTATAGCTGATAATCGATATCTCTCAAGTTTGCTGTCAAAATGCATTATTGTGAATTGACTTCCATTATGCCATGTTCTGACGGGCATTCGAACAACGTAGTTCGCTCTCAGAATTACGTACATGAATTAACCCGTTTATACAACACTATTCTTAATTCATGTCATCAGAGTTTTCTTTATCAAATTTCTTGTTTCTCCTTTTACACCGAAATCTCAACTTATTTGTGTGTATTACCTATGAATTTAAATAGAAAAAATTATTCTCTTTATTCTGAATATAATAAGAACCCATATCTAAATACTTTTCACTCATGTTTTCCATTTGTTCTGAAAATGTTGTTGTTTTTAATACATTTTTATATTTTCTCAATTCAAATGTCACATACTGTCACATATAAAAATTTGGAGAATTTTTTGTTTGAGTTTCCCCACATTTGTTTCTTATTTTGTACGCTAATTAGAACCAATGGAAAAGAACTGCATATTGCATTATGTAGAAAACAAAATTTACATTCTGCTGCATATATAAAATCTATACAATTTATTACTTTTCATTCATCATTTTCAATTTTTCTGAAAAAGTTTGAAAATTTTATAAATATTTTCATGCTGTCAAAATTAATTTATTTTCGATAAATACTCTCAATTGTTAGGGATGGGACAAATTTCTTGGTTATTCAGAGAGTGATTCGAATTGAACAACGTACAAAAGTCGGTGTTCGTTCAGACAATTTTGTATGGGGAACTAAGTAATTACTTCATAATTAAGGGTCGAACAACGAATGAGAGAGCGAACGACGCTCGTCTGTACATGGCATTATGAAATTCGATTGCTATCTTGGTGACCTTATTAATATATCTTGTTTATAGGCCATGCCAAGATCTATTAATAAGGTCACCAAGATAGCAATCGAAATCGGAAAACAGCTGTTTTTCTCAAGTCTAATGTCAAAAATGTCGACTTTCTTTACGTTTTCATAATGGAAGTCAATTCACAATAATGCATTTTGACAGCAAACTTAGGGGTGTCGATAATCAGCTGGTATCCCTTGGTGACCTTATTTATAGGCCATGGGATGAATAAAGTCGTACGCATGGCCTATAAATAAGGTCACCAAGGGAGACCAGCTGATTATCGATACCTCTCAAGTTTGCTGTCAAAATGCATTATTGTGAATTGACTTCCATTATGAAAACGTAAACAAAGTCGAAATTTTTGACATTAGACTTGAGAAAAAACAGCTGTTTTCCGATTTCGATTGCTATCTTGGTGACCTTATTAATAGATCTTGGTCGTACGCATACGCATCAATTTAGTTACGGGCCTAACGCAGATGCAAGTAGTTGTATCTGAGTAACGAGTATTTGGATAGTCAGAATTTGCCATCATTCGGCGATTTTCTGTATAATAAGAGTCGGCTTTCGTCGCGCAGACTTTTCTCTTGAATTTATATATAGTAAGGAAATTAAGAAAATTATATTTGTGTAAATTATTGGAACGCTGCAGTACTGGAAAGGACAAGTTTTATCAAATAGGTATGCAAACCACATTTCATTGTTAAATTAAAACTTTTGTGCACATTTTGAGCCACGGCTTTTCAGTCAGCAACGGACACCGATCGCCATTTTGTTTTTAAAAGATAATTTCCTCTCAAGAATTGTCGAGTTTTCTTTTAGCAATTATTGTATATAGACTAAATGATTATATTGTTTTAGATTTACTGTTGGAGCCATCGGATTTTACCAAGGAGTTCGTGCAGCTGTTCATGAGTATAATTCGTGAAGCTGCTGAGCTTGACCACATTACTGTAAAACTGCAGACTATGAAACGAAGCGCTTCACGCGACTCTCCATCTAGAACAAGTCATTCGTCGCGCTCACGTTCTACGGCTATGGGACGGGGTACATATGATAATGGAGGTCTGCCGGGTGATTCGCCGGAACGTATGTCTCCAGATCGAGTAAGACGCCGCGTTGGCCGTTCTCCTAGCCCTCGTTCTCGTTACGTCGGAGGATCTCCCCATCGGGAAGAGTATATTCGAGGGGCACCTATGCCTTCGTCTGATAGGCCATCTTATAAAGTGTTATGTGTATCAGCCTTACATTCTAAAGCATCCGATGAATTCATTAAGGAGACTTTGTATCGTGAATACAAAAAATTTGGAGATTTCAGCATTAGAATTTCCCATGACTTGGATGAAAGGGTGGCATATGTGTGTTTCCGCACAGCTGAAGATGCGAGAGAAGCTAAGCACCATAAGCCCCGCATTGTTCTGTATGATAAAGTTGCGCTGGTGGAGCCAGTGTACGAGTCTTCCGGTCGCGGTGAGCATAGGTAAGTATTGTTGCTTTCATGTGATCTTCGTTTCAATTTTTCAAATATATGATTATGTTTCTTCATAGGGCACGAGGGCGTTCAATAACACCTCCAGAATATGATCGCTACCATTACTCCCGAGTTCCCGTTCCTCCACCTGGACCGCCGGAACACCGGCGACCTCCATTGGATCCTTACGATAGATATGGGCCACCGCATATTTCATCCCATCCTCATTCTAGAGAATACCGCCCCATACATCATGAATATCCTATGCCACCTAGAGGACCACCAATACATCGTGGCCCTCCACACATTCATGGGCCACCACCTCATTACGGTGGTCCACCTAGGCACCTTGGTCCAAGACCACATGTACCTTATGAAAAACCAGAAAACAAAAAAGATAAATTTCCCAATTACTTACATCATGTCCAGCCGGAGGATGACCCACTTGCAACACGCACACTTTTTGCGGGCAATTTGGAAGTATCGATTTCAGATGATGAATTACGGCGTATTTTTGGTAAATATGGCATCGTGGATGATATTGACATCAAGAGGCCTCCACCTGGCACCGGTAATGCATTTGCTTTTGTGCGGTACCAAAATTTAGATATGGCACACAGAGCGAAGTGTGAATTGTCTGGACAGTATATTGGAAAGTTCCAATGCAAAATTGGCTACGGGAAAGTGACTCCAGCCACTCGTATATGGGTCGGTGGTTTGGGTGCATGGACATCTGTAACACAACTCGAAAGGGAGTTCGATCGCTTCGGAGCCATCAAGAAAATCGAGTATCAAAAAGGAGATACATGCGCATATATTCAATATGAAACTGTAGAGGCAGCAACTGCAGCTGTAAAGGAGATGCGTGGATTTCCCTTAGGAGGTCCTGAAAGAAGACTTAGAACCGATTTCTCGGAGCTCCCAGGCGTGACGCCTACAGCTGCTCCATTTAAGCCTAAATACGACGAAGCTGCTGTTCCAGCTGCAGAATACCGGCGGCCTGAATATGATTATCATTATGAAGATCCACATCATCACCACCATCATCATTATGCCCCTCGCGGGGGATACTCGCCATATCCGCCGCGTGGATCATATCGTGGCAGGGGAGGGTACCGCGGTCGTGGTCGGGGAGCTTACCACTACCCCAATGATGTACACCGTCCTATACATCCCAGCGCATTAGCTGCAACATCAACATCGACCATTCCTCCGCCAGGTGGGATCGAAGATGAATGGCGTCGCCCGCCCGGTGAGCCTGGGTTCGAAAGAGGTCGGTCGGGTTCTCGTGAAATTAGGGCTGATCGTTCACGCTCGCGATCTCCACATAAGCGAACACATTCTCCGGGATCTGACTCGGATTCGTCACAGCGTCGTAATGGATCAACATCGTTAGCATCAGCTCGAGTTCTTTCAGATGTAGCGCGCAAATGCACAGTTGTTTGGCAAGGCGCCCTTATTCTAAAGAGTTCTCTATTCCCAGCTAAGTTCCACCTTACAGACGGCGACGCCGATATTGTGGAGTCACTAATGAGAGACGAAGAGGGGAAACATAATTTACGAATTACTCAACGCTTGCGACTCGATCCGCCGAAATTAGAGGATGTTCAGAAACGTATTAGCTCATCATCGTCTCATGCTATATTCTTAGGCTTAGCTGGCTCTACTGGAACCACAAATAATTCCGAAGATGGTTCTGTGCAAACTAGACCTCTACGTAACTTGGTCTCATATCTCAAACAGAAAGAAGCCGCGGGCGTAATTTCCTTGCTAAACAAAGAAACAGAAGCCACAGGAGTCTTGTATGCATTTCCTCCTTGCGATTTTTCGGCAGATCTATTGAAGAGGACATGTTCTTCTGTCAGCGAGGAATCATTTAAAGAGGATCACCTTGTGGTTGTAGTTGTTAGAGGAGGAACCGCTTAAAAGAAGGGACCTCCGACATCCATTCATTGATTTTACAATCATATATATATAATATTTCAGTTGACAAGCAAAACGTGGATCAACACTTCACATTCTTGACAAATTTATTAATTAATAACTATATTCTGTATATGAATAACGCATCCCCACGCATTTGTAGTACATACTAATAACTAACCCCTTACACTATTCCTCCCGATATCACCAACATGCTATTACATTGGTTCACAAAGGTTAAGGTCCAATTAAAAGTATTCGTTTAATGATGCTACCAGATTTAAATAACAAAAACGCACAAATCTGATCTGATTATCCATTTTGCCCTAATATCGTGATACTACTGTGCCAATCATGAATACAATATGTTTAGTTCTACTCCTAATGTTATGTACGAAAATGACTTGAACAACAATTGTGAAAAGTGTGAATATAATTTGAAGAATATTTGAAAAGAAACGTGAACCTGAAGTCCTTGTTTTTGGTCTAATAGTTTACAAATCAATATCGGCAGATTTTGTAGTTTACGACAAAATGATATGTCTGCGATGTTGTGGCAACATGTTATGAAGTAGGGGAGACTGGGGCACCTTCGGCATCGGGGCACCTTCGGCAATCGCGTTTTCGATATGAATCTCTCACCGTACATCACTAGTTTCGATACATAGGTATCGAATATCGAAATAAATAACTGACACAAAGTTTGAAATTTCTAGCTAATAAGCTTATTTAGATACACAGGATTTTGTATTTTTATAGATGTTTCTGTAATATTTCAATCCCATTTCGTAAGTATTTCGTGTATAAAACTTTTAAAATTTTTAAGACAATATTATTAAAAAGTGGTTAACTACGATGTGTATTATTATAAAAATGTTTAAAAATATAATGTTTTAGAAATCCGATCGAAAAAAATGAAAAAAACTATAAAAAGTACATTCGGGGTACATTCGGCATTTTAAAATGGGGCACATTCGGCCATATACAGATTGTGCAATATTATTTCCTTAAAATGTTTTTGAGTTTGTCTTTAAAACTAATCCTTTAGTATGGCTCGAAATTGCATATTTAAGATCAAACGTGCTTGTATTGACGAAAATGCGATAGAAAACCCCTATTTCTGATGGTGTGTGCGACCTTGAGATGTAAACGTCCGCCGCTAGAAAATAAAGCCCTATAATTCAAACATTGTGTGGCTTATTAAAACCAAATAGAGCCTTTAGAGGATCAGAATTTCAACCAGTCTGATAGCGATGATAATTACCCGGCTATGACTATGGTGCCGAATGTGCCCCATCAAATGCCGAAGCTACCCCGGGTTGGGGCACATTCGGCAAATTTGACTTTTTTAACAAAACTGTAAAATTTTTTAACTAATACTAGTTTTTTATATCTTTTTGGTACTATTTTTTATAATTAAGAGTCAGAGGACAATAATCAGCCATAAAGTTTTTATATATGTTGAATAAGTACTGAGATATAGAGCTCTAAAAAAAAAGTGCCGAAGGTGCCCCAGTCTCCCCTATTATAACCGCTTTGTGTAAACAGTTTTTCTTGTGTGATTTCAGTTCTAGTGGGCTATTCTCGGCCAATGCGCACCTAAAAATAATAATAATAAAAAAAACGAAATCAGTGGTGGTGTAACATTCAATTTCAAAGATTGTTGGGTTTCTAAAGTGAGTTCTCGAATATACCTCCGTATATTAGATTGTAGCAGAGAGGTATTACTCTCCGTATGTGTTTGTTGCGGTATGAATATATACCGATGTCAAAAGAACCACCCTTTTAAATGGTGAATTATGATTTCTTCTGTGAATTTTAATACCAATGTGTAGTGCTTTATACGATTCTTCTAAAACGTATTGTCAGTAATAGACAAATACCTGTGGCATAAATATATTAAATTGAATCTATGCATTTCCGGCTTTGATGCAAGTATTGAAGTGAAGTGAAAGTATGAGGTCTGCGAAGTACGATACACATTTACCAGTTGTTAAGAATGACATTGTGATCCAATGTTGAAAATTTGGCTGATATTGTTTGTTGTCAGTTCCATTTCAAGTGTTTTGTGCAGAATCGGGTTCCTCTGAAGATAGTGTTTGTGACTATTCTAATGAAAACGTAATGTTTGCTACATATGTCTCTCGAACGAGCTGAAAGTTCAATAATTGAAGCGGCGGGCGACGTCTTAGTGTTTTTCGTTAAAGTTAGATTGTGGCCATTTCATTAGTAATTTTCTTAGAATAATGTTTCTACTGCTGCTACAAATATTCCTCATAATTTTTTTAGAAAACTAATTGTAGTATTTGTTTAAAAATTATATGCGATCGAAAAGGGTTTTACAAATGCTACATTGTTTTCTACGAGGAATTTCCACCCAGAATGTTTCATGTGTCGACTTCGTAATATCAAAGAACGAATCTTGAATCTGTAGCGTGGTCATTTGCTTATGAACTAAAATAAACAAATATAATATCATGTAATTTATATGTGTATGTTGAAGTTAATAACGGTCTTGTTTTCCGTATCGACCTGTCACTGAGATGTCATGAAGACAAATAACATCCTTCGCAGTGAAATGCATAGCAAACATGCATGAAAAGTGTAGTGCATTTATAAGTTCCGTTTTATTTTTATCCTCAAGGGAGATGCAAAAGATACAACTATTTATGTGGTGTTACGAACAACGTCTATATACATAAGGAGAACATTTGAATATGTACTGACAAATGTGTGTTAAAAATGAACTATCGGTAATATCCCCATGTATATCCAGATATAATGTTTGAATATTATTCAATAAAATTAAAAAAAAAAACACAGACAAATATTTTGTTTACATTTTATTTATAATCGCTGAAAGCATGAGGGTGCTGCGAGTTTTACAGATGGTTCTTAATTGATAATCAAGTGGCAACTATTTTAATCGTAGTAAAGGTAGTACAGCGTGGCTACAGCAAAAAATTTAGGCGTTTCTATTACATGCGATATATATCCATCTTTATCGGCGTCCCACAAAAAATTGGCATACGAACAATAACCCTGCATAAGTTTTTCTCCAGTTGTAACTACAACAATTAAACGGTATCTAAAAAAGTTAATAATTATAAAAAAAAGTTCTCGGACAGATTTGTTGTTAGATTATGTTAAATTCGAGTCGAAAAATTGCACTAACAGTCTTTTGAAAGCTGATTACGTCAATGTAGAGTAAGTTCGTGCTCCAGACGAAGCATGCGTTTGTATATTTAGTCCTTAAATTTTCTTTTAAAGAAAAAAGCCTAGAAAAACATAGTCTTGATTTAGATTAGGCGAGTTTACTTGCGGCAAGTCTTTGTTTGTAGGAGAGAGGGGCAAGGGGTATAGAAATGAAAAAAAAATTGCTCGTACCGACAATTTTTTGGCAATTCGTTTTGTGTATTTCGTATTTGTTGACATTTTATATACATATATTTAAATGTGAAAAAACAACAAATAAAAAAATATTTTGGAAACCGAATTGCCTTGTATAGACGCATGGAGCTAGTTCAAAAGAGAACGATAAAAATTGCCGCAAGTAAACTCGCCTAATATAAATCAGGACATAGAATTCGCAACAAAAGTAAAAAAAACATGTATTTATGTATATCAATGTGAAGTACGAATTGATAAAGTTGAAAATATTCAACTATGACAGAGCGTAGTTTTTTTTCTTTTGTTAAAAGTGGAAACAAAACGTAAAATTTTCAATAAGATTGTAAAATTTTTGAACACATTTTATAATTTGTTAATATTGTTTCGTGATTTTGTTAAGTTCGCTAAAAGATATGAATTCGACGTATTTGGGTAATACGGTCGAACAAAACATTTTGCCATAGTGGCAGGGACCGAAAATAACAGTTATTTTTTAAAATGCGAACAAAAAATCTTCATGTTAGAGAGTTTCTGCATTTATGAACCAGTTTTTTGTTTCAAAACTATTGTTTGTCTGTGTGTAGGAAGAAAATATTGACATTTGTTTACAATATTTTTTAGGGTTACATCTTTTTGAAATTGATACATAGCAGGAAGGAAAACTAACAGCTATAATGAAGATAAAACAGCTCCTAATTTGATGAAATGTAGAATTTTGCCTTTATTTCTAATTTTTATTTTCGTAAACGTAAACAAATTTGACAACAATCAATTTTCTACAGCATTGCCATATTGAAATTGCTTAATTCAGTATAAATTCAGTTTGATTTTGTGCATTAACAACACATAAAAATGAGGATAATGTACAAGTTAATTTGAATTAAGGCTGTTAAAGCAAATTAAGGCTGTCGTCTGTCTAGGCTATTATTCAACTTGTAATCAGTTATAAAATTGCAATTTACAAATCACTGTCCTTATTACAATAAGTGTACACATAAGTAATCAAGATCAAAGGTAAAAAATATCAGCCTTATTCTGAATATTCGTTGGGAGATATCTCGCATATAAAAAAATTTTCGCTTTCACATTCTCGTCTTATTCTGAATGCATAGGGAGACGCAAAAAATGCGAGATGCGGATTGGAGTTTTCGAAAATGGTGGTTGAAAAAAAGATTTGTGTTGCCATATTGTAATTTAAGTTGTAACGTGTGTGGCCATATTGTAATTTAAGTTGCAATATGTGTTGCCCCATTGTAATTTAATTGTGTAATATTTTTCCATATTATATTAATTGATTTTTTTTATTAAAAATGTTTACTTTTTATTGTTATTTCAACTTTATAACAATACAAATGTGAAATATCAATAATAAATCAAAAAAATATGAAAGAACAAAAAATATATTTTTTTTCAAAATTATCGTGTGCATGATTTGAAATAAAGTAGTAGAAGCAAATCATGACATAAAAGGCCACTTTAAGAATCTGGGGAAATAAATATCGAAATTAAATAAAAAGGCACACAATTATGTAGTGAAATAATAAACTGAATTAATTAATTCAATCGCAGATTTCTTTCCATTATTCGTTGTTGTATTCTCTGTTGTAGTTGTTGCACCAAATTGCATCAAAACAATGAACAGCTGTTTCACATGCCATATTGTAGGTTGCCATATTTTTAAACTTTAATTTATATTCTTTTAATTACAAAGCATTTATACAGCGGATTCTTGATATTTCACATTTGTATTGTTATAAAGATTAAATAACAATAACAAGTAACAATTTTTAATCATAAAGTCAATAAATAAAATATTGAAAAATATTACACAATTGGATTACAATGGGGCAACACACATTGCAACTTAAATTACAATATGGCAGCACACATTACAACTTAAATTGCTATATGGCAACACGAATCTTTTTCAACCACCATTTTCGAAAACTCGAATCCGCATCTCGCATTTTTTGCATCTCCCTATTCATTCAGAATAGGGCCAGAATGTGAAAGCGAAAATTTTTTACATGCGAGATATCTCCCTAGCAAATATCCAGAATAAGGCTGAATAATTTGATATAACTTATAACCGTTACGGTCCCTGCATAGTGGGGAAGTTGAATATTTCTTTACGCCTCGTTGGAATTTAGGTAACGTTGTAAGGACATTGGAGGAGGATAATTTGGTATAGGCGAAGGCGGCTAAAGGGTATTTTACACTAGTGGTAATCAGAACAAACTAAAATTTTTAACATCAAGAGGATATCCAGAAACTAAAAACATTGAATATCTCTTGCCATCTAAGCTTTAACTACATCAAGGGGAATAAACTAGTAATATATAAAATAGAAATGGAGTCGATATACTATTTTGTTTGAATAAAAAAACAATACTTTAAGAAAATCATTAAAATTAAAAGGAAAAAAACCGCGGAAGCACTTGTAGGAGTGGACAAATATCCATCGCTACAACAATAATCTGCTTTAAAAAGGACTGATGTCGAAGTCGTCAAAAGAATCTGTACAAATATTTTTAAAATTGTATTATAAGAATATTTACTTATAGTCTGTTCCCGTACTGCAAGAATTTACTAAATTTAATATTTTCTTCGATATCATAAAGGAAAATTCGTTATCGTAGTAAAAAGTAGTAGATTCTTGCAGTACGGGAACAGACCATTAGTTTTGCATTAGAATTTATTTTATTGCATTTCTCAATGTCCACAAGAATTGCCAGAAAAATAATAGAAAACAAAATGACATAGCAATAAAATATGAAAAGGTTTTTTGATTTGATGTTGTAACGGAGTGAAGGAAAATTCCATTGGCGTAGTCGTAAATTTTACATGAGGGTTGTACCAAATTTATCGTACCTTTATAGGGATTGTAAGACGTCCGTATTACCCAAGTACGCAAAGACTTTATTTGCATATGTGCCAATTGAAAACGTCAAAAATGGATGAAAAAAATTTTTAGTTGATCGAAAAATGTTTACATTTATACAAAATCAAATTTTTCGATGACTGGAATTCTATTTTCAAAAAACAAAAATTTTAAAATACGCATTGTCAATGAAATGAAAAATTTCAACTTTTTTTATACGCAATGCGTATTTGCACTGATTTCTTAAAAAATGTTTTTTTTCATAGCATTTGTATATTTTAGGATAAATCTTTCTCTTAATAAATTAATTTTAAATTAACAAGCTTAGTTCACTATATTCAGACACGGCAGTATTTCCCAACAAGTAGTGGATTTTAAGATCCCGTTAAAATCGTCGTTAAGGAATACATCGTTAAGAATCCCGCTACAGGGGTGAATTTAAACAAAACACGTTGAGTCTTACCTATCGTAATTCTTTTCCTTGATACGATTCTTAATTTCTTCACTAACTTGAGCACAGAATTGCAAGGACGTCTTTGGGGTATAACTGAAGTTTTCATATGCCTCCTCCATTACCATTTTTATAATGTTTTCACATACTTCCCTATTTAGAGGTCGCATGGGTTCAAGTCGATATGTGGGCATATAACGCACGGATGGCTGCAAAAAAAAACTAATTTTATCTAGACAAACGCCTCCAACAAATTTAATACCTACATACCTTTGATGTAGCCAACACAGCAAATTTCGCCATGTGCGGATTCCAACTCTGCTGTAAATAAGTAAAATCACTTATACAATTAACTTAATAACAAAACTATTGCGTGATAAAGTAACATTAAGTAGTAACATTATAACAGACGGAATTATATTTTCTTCGTCAAATTGGGCTTTGTATGGAAATATACAACAAATGGTTAGTAAAAAATTACTTGCAAATGATTATTTTTTCAATTAATTATTATTGTAATTAAAGCAATATATATATATAAATATATACAACAATATATATACAACAAATGGTTAGTAAAAAATACTTGCAAATGATTATTATTGTTTCAATTAATTATTATTGTAATTAAAGCAATATATATATATATATATATATATAAATACGTTCCCCTATACGGGGGCAAAATAATTAATATATATATATATATAAATACGTTCCCCTATACGGGGGCAAAATAATTAATGTATCCAACAATGTTGAAATTACATTGCGCAATTGCTCGGAATAAAACAAATTTCTCAATCATTGTCGCTTTTAATGAAATTTGACATGTCAATCAATATATTTAGGCCAAATTAGCGAATTGATTTGCAGTGATTATTTAAAGTAGCCGTACCTCAGTTGATCCACGATTTGTGTATCCATCTTTCGTTGGTAACATCAAATTTATTCGTATTTGCCTTGCCTATATATATATGTATATATATATATATAAATACGTTCCCCTATACGGGGGCAAAATAATTAATAATTAATATATATATATATATATATATAAATACGTTCCCCTATACGGGGGCAAAATAATTAATGTATCCAACAATGTTGAAATTACATTGCGCAATTGCTCGAAATAAAACAAATTTCTCAATCATTGTCGCTTTTAATGAAATTTGACAAGTCAATCAATATATTTAGGCCAAATTAGCGAATTGATTTGTAGTGATTATTTAAAGTAGCCGTACCTCAGTTGATCCACGATTTGTGTATCCATCTTTCGTTGGTAACATCAAATTTATTCGTATTTGCCTTGAATTGACAGCGAATTGTTTGGAAATTAATTTCGTGACTGTTATTATGCGAATGAAAAAATATTTTTGAAAGTAAAAGGGCCTATACAAGGTTTATTTGTAAGTCCTCGTTGTCTGCCAACATTTATTGTTTGAACAATAAATAAAACAAATTTTTGTTTCAACGAAACATATAGTACGTTTACATTTAACCGGATTTCGTTAACCCAGTGGGTTTCAATTGTCAATTTCTTTGCATATATGTCAAATAAATCCTCATAAAGTAGGTTAACCCGGTGAAAAAGTTCTAGTGTACACGCCGTTATATGTGAAAGATATTTTCAGTTATACCATTTTGTTTGGTTTATCGCGATTAAAAAGGTTGACAATAAGGTGAGACTAAGCCTGTAGCAAATTATTGAACGCCAGAGCAACCTTTACATGGGAAGACTTTGCAAATAACAGATTCAAACGAGGCACATCGATTTGAGTGTTATTCACAGACCTATTGAACTAAAATAGTTCTACCCATGGTACAATTATGCAAGGTAGGGTAGCTTTTGTCAGAAAGGAGAAAATAAACTTCTGCCTTATGGGCAATAATGTCAGAATAAATTAAAACAAATGCAACAAGTCGTTCATTTTATTGGCCCTTATGGCCCAATAAACAGGTCGTAAAACTATAGATGGAAGCACTTATTGAATTCGATTCCATTTACCAGTTTTTTTTTTTTTGAGATACAATTGGTAGACAACCACGTCACTAATACATCCATGAATACATACCTTCCTTTAAATAATATTTGTATATCATCTGCAAACGCAAATTACATACAACGCATACATACACAATTGTTTTATTCAAAAAACGGAATTTTAGAACTAAAAAGTTGGATGGAAACATAAAATATACCAACTTATTGAAGTGAAAATCTCTGGCGTTATATGGGCCAACTTACGTTTTTTTATATTTACCACCCATATTTGTTTAGAACAAATACAAGACATCAACTTTATTTTGATATTTGACATTTATTATAATATATGGTATGTTTGTTGTAAACATGTAAATTTGTTTTTTTTTTTAATATTTTTATTTTAAATATATGTGTATATATGATAAATAATAATAACAAAATAATACATTAATTGAAATTTTAACAGAAATGTAGTGGGCATTTTGCGTTGATCAATTTATAAAGACAAATTCATTAACTATTATTAAAGCTTTTTAGTTTAGTCTTAAAAGTAGTGTTGATTTTGATGATTTGCTAAAAGAAACATGGTGATGTGTACTATTCTATAGAGAACATGCAAAAATGTCCATACACACATAAACATTGACATACATTTATATATAGATATAAGTTACAACATTGAATTAAAGTGCGCATTTTGGTGGTGTTACTATGAATTATATGGTGGGATTATTAAGTAGCTTATTATTATTCCTAGTGCTGCAACACGTTCGTATTAATGTTCGGAGAAGTCGTATGGAAACAAATTACATGCATCATGTCAAGACGTGTTTTATATTATATGTGATATAGATTTGTGATATCTGAAACATCCGGTTGGCTATTTGATAGCTGTATTTTGGTCCAGTTGATATAGAGATAAATTCACTAGTATTTTGTGTCAATTAGTTTCTGCGAACTCAATCATTTGACCGAATTTTCCGCAGAGAACCTCGGTTAAATTTGCATATAGATTCAAGCAACGCCGATCGTACGGGCTCTCCACTATCGGCCTCGGATGCAATATTGGGCGACGATGATTGTCTGTCTACACTGGCAACGGATGAAGTCTGTTTCAAAGAAGTTTTATGTTGTTGGTGCGATTCGAATTCGTTCCCCCTTTGATGTGCAGAAGGCGTCAGCGGTGGAGCTAGAATACTATAATAGCTGGATATTTGAAAACATAAATCAGTATTATACGTACATTTAATATCCTGAGAAGCATTGTTGGTTATGACACTATTCATGCGGTTTAAAGAACGCGAGCTGGCTTCAGAAGATTCAGTAATTGAACCTCCACAATGACTGACGGTGGTCAGGGCTACCTTTCCATTACTATTTTGCAAAGATCCCTGTTGTTTAAGTTTCGACTGTTTGTGTTCTTGCTTCTAGAAGAGTTAAAACAAATCCACAGTGTTAGGATATTTATCAAAACGAAGTCCATGTGATATTTTACCGCTTTATGTTTGATTTTACGTTTTTCTTCCTCGGAGCTCATTAGTTCCTGGACACGCACAATACGCTTTTGATTTTTTACTGATTTCTGTTCATCGCGCAATCGGTTTTCCGTCTTTTGAATAGCTAGTTTTATAGCTTCTTTTGCGTTAAGTGACAATTTTAAATGATATCTGGTAGCTTCGTCGTTGGCGAGTCCTTTACTTGTTTCACATGCAGAATATTCTTTAAAAAAGTTGTGATTGCTCAGTTGGTCCAGAGACGGTAGGCCAGATTTACAAGCCTCTTTAGACAAAATGCTTTCCAATAGATTTTCTAGAAGTTGAAATTGAGATGTCTATAACAAGAAGATAGATAAGATTGTATTTTGAACTTACTCAAGACTTCCGGACAATCGGTTATTTGTCTCGCAACAGATTCCTGCATGGGATAGCCCATTGCCATTTCAAACAATATATGGCCAAAACAATAAACATCTATAGCCTCCGATTTATAAATCTTGCCATGTTGTACGAAGAATGGCCGGTAAAATGATGGTACTCCGAGAATATAATTTTCAACATCTAAGAGCTTTACACAATCGTCTACAATTACAATGTTTCCTGAATGCAAATGACCTGTTAAGCGAATGTGACGGTATCAATGAATAACTCATAACAACATGCTAGAACTATTACCGTAGGGGTAACCCTTAGAATGTAAAAAAATAAGGACGTCTAAAATTTGTCTCCCATATATCGCGACCTGCTTCATAGATAGTGCAGTACGTCCTTTGGGATTGCCATATTTACTTAAGAAAGGATTTTTTGGCGTTGCCATGCATAGAATGTCTTTAAGAGTTCCATGTTTATGAAACCTACATAAAATCGAATAATAATTTGAATACTGTATACTTGGGGTTCAACTTCCTTACTTCCTAATCACGAGGCATCCATTCTCATTATGTGCTGCATACTGCATTGACTCAATGTTTGGATGTTGCATACTGACTAAACTTTTCAATATGCCACCTAGTTCCTTGTCGTCAATATATTTATCGGGTCCGTACTCAAGCCACTCCAAAACCAATTCGTTAGCTCCCGATTGAGAAGTATCACTGGAATGATCAGATTTGTTGCCATTGCCAGCCACACTGTGTTGTTTTAAATTTGCATGGGTTTGTGACCCACTTTTCACTAAGGTTTTATTACAGGACTTTGAATCTGGTTGTTTCGGTGTTACTTTAAAGTAATGTTTTCTTAAGCGCCAACCAATAGTCCCGAGCGTAGCACCCAATGACCACAATCCCTCACTTCTAAGGCAGAGTAGTGCGTTTTGGACAGCTTGGTCTGTGTGTCATAAAATTGGTTATTATAAAATAGCAAAACGACATTAGGAATTAGTTAGCTAATCTATCTATAGCACAATTATATATTTACAAATATATGCATTACGGTATTTACACCGGCTATCCTATTACCTATCGTAAACTTACCATGAAAAGATTGGGAGTAGCTATCGGGGTCAACGAAACGCTTCGCGGGCAGCGATGATGCCAATATTGGATTCATTAGCACAGTATTTATGTAAATTTGCAGGGCTTGTCTACGTTCAGCTATAAATTCAGGGCGCATATTACCAAACAATTTTTTACCAGGTAAAGGCAGGTCAATTCCCGATATAGCGAGACTCTTCTGTAGGTCAGCAAAATCATTGTATCGTCGTAAAATTCTCCACGTAAATTGTTTCGAATAGCCCCGTTTTAAACGTAATAAATATTCCTGTAACAAATGCAGATCAAGTTCAATTATTATGAATTACAATAAAAAATATGTTTGGAAGTATTGGCTCCTGACAAGCTGAATTTCTGTCGCCATATAAGTCGTTTATTTTGAATGTGATTTAACTCCATTTTAGGCTATGAAACATATCTTGGAATTCTAGTATGGTTTACAGAACATATTTCGTTATACATTCAATCACGTTTAAGGGCACAAATCCACAAACCAAATAAATACCACATAACAATTTTGTTGAATTAAATAAAAGACAAATACTTAAATATTTCAATAGAACAACAAAATTTACTTGAACCTTTTTCAAAATAAACTCATATAACTATGATGATATTTCAGCTAAATTCATCTCTTCGCGGGCTTTATATGACGGATATGGATTTATAATATCTGAAGCCATAAAGTATGTATTGGAAGGAGCAATAACCCCTAAAACTATGAGTGTTGCTATCCCCAGGCTGGAGAAAACTACTCATGGAATACAGGAGTTATCACTTCTTTTATCTGACGCGTATTCAGTGGCTGCTTCCGTAGCTTCAACTGGTATAATCCCATAAACTTCCCAAAGACCATTAGTAACGGCTCCAGTTATGAAAATGGTATTTGTATCTAGGTTTGCGCCGGATGATATAAATTATTATATCAAATCAAAAATTGAAGGAAGTTACTGTTTACGATGCTAAAAGTATATTCAGAGTGTAGATCTTCGTTTAAAATACCTGTGCTTAATAGTGAAATTCTAACTTCAAAATATCAAATATTTAGAAAATATCCGATTAGTAAAAGAGGTGATGGTGTCCTCATCGAAGTTGATGCCAAATATTCCACTAACTTAATTAAGGTGGCCATACGTCCTATTTTTTGGACGACAATCATCTATTTTATGTCCTCTGTCTATCATATATTTCTATAACCCGTCATTATTGTCATCTATATTTTTAAAATCCTGATCAATCTTTATTTTTGTAAATTAAAACAACTTAATAAATACATTTTATGAAATTTCAGTGAAATATTAAAAACTGTCACATTTTTTTTAATTTATTCGTTTCATTCAATAATACTAAAGCCTTCAAGGCCAACATATAGTATCACAAAGCTCTTATCAAACTAGACACTAAAAACAAAAAAATTAACTTAACTGAAATGTTTATATACATATATATATACTCCCCAGCTGTAACTAAAACTAAACGGAAAAAGAGCAAAGAGGTAATGAACATAGCAATAGATGAAATTATGTCAATTATACAACAACAGTACTAAGGCAAATTTTAGTAAGAAATAGTGAAAAGAAATAAAGAAGCAAGTAAAATAAATCAGAAACCAAATATAACAAAAAGTCCTTAGCTCTACTGGCAAATAGTTCCATGTTCGAGCGACACGTATAACAAACGATTTCTCAAGCATAGAATTGTATATCCTGGGTATAAATTTTGGGTATTTTCAGGATTTTTAGACACATCTTCCAACCGAATTATCTGTTATTATATATTTTGAGTTCTAATTGAGTAACAAATTTCCCTAAATAAATGTTAACTATTAAGTTATGGTATTTTCAGGGTTTCTGGATACGTTTTGCAAACGAATTGGCTGCAATTTAGTATTTTGAGTTCTATGTTTCTAGGTGCCACTCACATAAAGAAATCGAGATTTCCTTTGCTATGTTCAATATATAAAAAAATCCCAAGATTATTCGCTGCGGACAAAAAAATTGGCACCGTCTTACTTAACCACTTTTTTACTCATTTCATATATTTATATAAATCTAAATGTGCGTTTTATGCACATACTGTTATTTTTATTAAAAATATTTGTTTTTTCTTTCTATCATATATTTTTATTTTCAAAATCTGGTCGCCTTAAATTAATTCAGTTAAATAATTTAACTGATATAGAATTTGTCGGCATATCCATTGAGTTGGGCAAATTTAAATTATTCGTCACTTGTTCACATACGCCATCTGTGAAGTCGCTTTCCTTGTCAGAGTCAGAAACTCTTACAATCATTTAACTGATATATATTTTGTCGGCATATCGATTGAATTGGGTAAATTTAAATTATTCGTCCCTTGTTCACATATGCTATCTCCTTGTTCACATATGCTATTCCTTGTCTGAGTCATAAACTCTTACTCCTTTTACATCTGATATGAATTTAAATCAATTTACTTCTGAAATTATTACTCGATTTTGGTCTATTAACAACATTTTAATAAATTTTTATCTCCTTGTTCACATATGCTATTCCTTGTCTGAGTCATAAACTCTTACTCCTTTTACATCTGATATGCATTTAAATCAATTTACTTCTGAAATTATTACTCGATTTTGGTCTATTAACAACATTTTAATCGCGAAATACCAGCCAGATCAGGACAAAAACTCAAAACTCGTTCAATATCAGAATAAACCTTGATTCATACGGATAACAAGGAAGTGAACTCAAAGTCTTCATTGACTGTAAAATTTATTGTTTGAAGAATAAACAAAAAATATTTTTATTCCAAACAAAATATTCGTGCACAATCTTATCAATACGATTTTCTGAAAGATATTTGGAATTTTTATTGGATAAAAGGTTCCCTAAGTCGACGCCATGTTTTATAAATGTAATATTTTAATTAATAAAATTATTTCATATAATTTTTTTAATACAATACTGATGGAAAAGTCCGATAGTAATAATTTATTAATGAAAATAGCCGAAAAATTATTTAAATAAAAATTGTTTAACTAAAATACGAGATACCGACAATTGGAAAAAAGTGCGACTATTGTCACAAAGGCACTATTTTACCTAATTATCAATTTAATCTACATTAATACAAATTAATTAAACAAATTTGTATTGCATCGGGCAGTAAACAAAATTTGGAAATATATGAACCTAAATACAATCTAGTGACAAAATGCTCTCGGGATGGTGAAAAGTGTAAAATGGGAAAATCGGAACAAATGCACTTTACGGACACCTCTCAGATAATATTGAATATTGATAACATTTTCACCATTGATAGCCCTTCTGATGTTGATTACAACAACATACATTTTTTCGGGGTGAAATCAGTACTTTTCGAGATATGGGACTACAACTTTCCAAAATTACACCCTCATTTTATTAAATATCTTTAATACCACTCAGAAACGTTTGCAACTTTTACTGCAGATAGTCCTGATCAAAACCACATAATTTTTTTAAGGAGGACTTCATAGTTCCGGAAATGTGGGTATCAAAATTTAAATTGGTACCTGGGAGTTTATGACTCACCTATGGACAGGTAGAAAATTGAACTACGCGAGCAGAATTTTATTTTTATTTGAATTTTTTTCTGAGAATCGCGCCTTCGGCGCTGTTTTTCATATACATACTTCTGCTGAGTCAGAACAATCCGAGTTGAGTCTCTTAAGGCGAACAATTAAACATTATTTTTAAAATTTTGGAATGCATTTTGCAAGCGCATTAAAGCATAAAGCTACAAAAACTTCGACCGTGCTTCACAAAAATTTTAGACAAACTTCATTTAAAAATATAGAAAGCAATTTTGATTAACAGAAAATTCGCCTTAAGTTGAGTTTAAGGGCTCGTGCTGGATTTTCTTCTAAAATGTTTACCAAATGTAGGACATCTCTCTCCGATCACGAAAATGGCGAAGTCCACACTTCCCGATATATGGAAGTGTGAACTTTTCTAATTAAAACTACTTTAACCATACCCATTTTACCTTCGACGGTCCATATTTGGGGAAGTAAGTCCATACCCTAATAACATTTCATAAAAACCCAGATGAGCCCCTAAACTCAACTTGCTCCGAAGATTGTTGCAGGTACTGAAAAGAGCATATGTTTCGCGAATTGATGTGTTAAAATTTTCTGAATATATATTGAAAATTGTTTACCAATTTATATATATTTAGGGATATTAGTAAGTATCTCATCTGTCAATTACCGTATGTCCATTAACTTCTTGAGCCGTTTCTATAATGCAGTCTATTGCTTGGGTGTCATCAATTGTGTTTCCATCCTCGCGCTGTTTCTCAAATATGTCCATCGAAAGAAGTCATATTTAATGTCAATTTTCTTAGCTTTAATACTTAATCAAGTTAAACCATTAACACCAAGTCCAAGTTTTGAAGTTTTCATTAAATTTTATATTTGTATATACTAGGGATAAGGGATGAAAAATTCAGTATAATAGTACTTTATTCAGTACCATTTTCCTCTACAGAATACGATGTACCACAAGGCAGATTTAATAAGGTAACCGCATCACCCATGGCACTTTTACGTCAAGTATAGGTTCGTTCCCGTACTTTTTGATAGTAAAGCTAGTAAAAGAGCGAACTATCAAAAATTACTCTCACATACAAGATTTGCGCAAAAATAAAGGAACGAAAAATAGTTAAAACATGAAGAAACGTCAAAATCAAATCCTCCAAAAGAGAATACAAAATCTGTTTGTCCATTTTTTAATTTCTTATTTTTTTTTCAAGCAAATGTGTGTGCGTCTGTGCGTGTGTTCCTTTTGTTGAAGCGCTAAATTTCATGTGCTTTATTTCGGACTGTATATCTCTGGCAATCAAATGTCAAATTTACTACATTTACTATTTCGTGCTATGCCAAATTGGTCTTGCAGAAAATAGGAGAAGAGAACGCCATTTTGGTTTTAACTCTCTTAAATTTAATTTCAAATTGTCCTACTTTTCGGCGTAAGGGAACGCTTTTCTAGCAAAAATTGCAAAACTAGTACAATATAGTACTATATTACTGAATTTGTGAACATGATTAATAGCGCATTTACATACGCTCCTTATAACGTTATTTACACCGTGTCTGTCAGTTGCCATCACCAATGACACTTTTACGTAAAGTATATTATACTGAATTTGTGAGCACGATTAATAGCGCATTCACATACGCTCCTTATAAAGTTATTTACACCGTGTCTGTCAGTTTTTCTGTACATACGACATTTTGTATGTACGTCAAAATTCCCCTTTACATAAATTTTATACTTTTGTGTTCACATGTGTATATGTTTAATTATTTTCCTTCTTCCCAATGTTGTAAAATTCTTCTGTAAAGAAATGTATATATTTTTTAAAACATTACACAGATGGTCACACATTTTGTATACGATTTTGGCATAACAAGCCACAACATACACAATAATTAAACGTTATAAAGCCTTTATCGAAAATACAACAACCACAAGGAAACGATAACACAAACGCTCGAAGCTGTTGTGCGCTGCGCTTCGGAGTTAAATATATTTTAACTTTTTGCGTGCGTTAACGCTATAACAAAAAACGCTCAACGCGAACATTCTGTTTAGCCCTTAATTGTGCCATGATCGCCGTTATGCATTCCACATGGTGTCGCTGAATTCATATCATTAAAGGCATTTTATAAGCAACATACATTTTATAACCGCAATAAAGGGCTAAGCAGAATGCTCGCGTTGAGCCATCCGTCGCGTTATATGTTATCGAAAATACAACAACCACAAGGAAACGATATGCGCGTGTGTTATCGTTTCCTTGTGTTTGTTGTATTTTCGATAACATATAACGCGACGGATGGCTCAACGCGAGCATTCTGCTTAGCCCTTAAGAGGTAGGTTAATGGCATGGTACAATAATAAAGGGTAGGACAGCTTGTGTGGAATAAAAAAACAACTAGGTAGGTGGTGGCTTCTGCCAAATACAAAATAAATATATGCAATAAGTGGTTGGGTTTATTCGACATTTTTTCAACAAATAAGTAACACTGCGAAAAATTAATGAAAGGTTATTATTTCTTTCCAAAATCCAGTAGGGAGTACCATGCAATATTTGTTTCATCCATAATAAAGTAATTACTTCCAGAGGCGTTAAAAACATCATTTTCATTTCAATTAGATTTGAATATATTTCAATTTATTTTGAATTTATTTGACATAGTATTCAAAACAATACACACACATACACAAAATATGTATTTTGATTTAATGGAACAAGCACCTAGGGAGTACATGCAATATTTGTTTCATCCATAATAAAGTATAAAATATAAAGAAAATTATTAATTTTCAAATTAAGTTGTAATTAAAATTCAACATTATACGGCATTTACATTAGAACTTTTTACCGGGTTAACCTACTTTATGAGGTTTTATTTGGCATATATTCAAAGGAATTGAAAACTTAAACCCACTGGGTTAACCAAATCCGGTTCAATGTAAACGACCTTTTACAGCACTCAGAGAGAAATCTTTCGTTTTACAGTTTTAGTTAATTTAGTCAAGTAATCAATTTTAAATCATGATCGAAAACATGATACTAATGAGATGCAATCATGAAAACCAAAAGAAAACAACAATTATTTATAACATGTTTGTATTTTTATGTGATTTTCTGACTTTCCCGACGACCACAACATTGCAAAAATAATGAGATTGTTGTAATGTGTAAACAATTCGGATGTATTTCGGGATTTCGTTATCGTGTCGATTTAAGATCGCATATGTAAATGTACTTTAACACATAAACCTAGTACACAAAAATACAACCCTACACTATACACACACTTGCGTGCAACCCTGACTTGACACAACACTGATGAATTCAGACGGACAGTGTCATGCAGTCTCCATCCCACTTCATTCGTAAATATTTCGATATCCTACTTTAAGTTCTTCTTTAGCTGCCATTTTGTCTTCTCCTCCATTTGTTAGCAAGTGGAACGTTTTTCATTTTTTATTGTTGCGGAGAACCCTGCGAGACCACGCTTTTTTCCCTTCAAGCAACACGTGTGTGGAAACGTTTATTTATATTTTGCCAGATTTCTCTGTCCAAAATATCAAAATAAAATGGATAACGAGGAATTAGAAATGGAAGTTGTAGAGCCTGAGGATGCTGAGAGCGATATTGATGATAATGACGATGCGGAGGATGACGATATGAATACGAATAAAGAGGTTTATCTTCCTGGTAAGCCTTTGAAGGAGGACGAAGAATTAGTTTGCGACGAGTCGGCCTATATTATGTTGCATCAGGCTTCAACTGGAGCTCCATGCTTGAGCTTTGACGTAATTGCGGATGAACTCGGTACAGACCGTCAAGATTATCCTTTAACTGCTTATATGGTGGCGGGAACACAGGCTGCCCGCACCCATGTAAATAACTTGATAGTGATGAAAATGCATAATTTGCATAAGACGCAGGGTGGTGATGGAAATGAAGACGATGACGATGATGTAGAGTTGGAAGACGACCAGGATGATGTAGAGGATGCCAGCGAATTAAAAAAACCTCAAATGAGCTGTGCTTTGATCAAGCATCAGGGCTGTGTGAACCGTGTACGATCAAAACGCTTAGGAAACTCTGTTTTTGCGGCCTCATGGAGTGAGCTCGGCCATGTTAACATTTGGAATTTATCAAAGCAACTTCAAGCTGTTGAAGATAGCTCCTTGTTAAAAATCTATGAGAGAGAGGTAGGAAGTACTCCAGTTAAACCTGTTTTCACATTCACTGGACACCAACAAGAAGGTTTCGGAATAGATTGGAGTCCATGTGCCGAAGGTGTATTAGCTACAGGCGACTGTAAGTAAGTACTCATTTGCAAGTGACTATAAAATTGCAGTCAAATTAGCTTAACAGAAAATGTCAAAATTATCCGAGTTTTTCAATAAAGCGAAGTCAGTGTAATCGTATCGAAAACTGGGCACTGTCGCATTTATATGACAAATAAGTATTATGAACCCAATTTGTTATTTTCGTCGATGTCGTAAAGGAACATTTATTGTCGTAGTAAAAACAAGTAGATTCTTGGAGTACGGGAACAGACGAAAAGGGTATGACTGTAGCATGAAAGTTATTTTTTCGTTTATTGTATCAAATAATATATTTCGCTATAAGTCTAAAAAATAAATATATTTAAATTCAATAGTTTTTTTAGAAACTGAAATCAACTATGTTGACAACAATTTCTTTATTGACTTCCACACCTTGCAGAAATGTGTCAAAATCTTTAAAAATCGCATTTTAGGAATATTTCGTCAAAGACCAAATTATTCTATGATTTTTTTTTTTACCATTTGTTGCAAAAGAAACGATTTTTGTAAACACAACATTTATTAATCAAAAATGATCACTAATTTATATAACAAATATACAGCAAATTTTTTTTGATTTGATCAAATTTCACTCTTTTTCCAAATATATATTTTTTTAATTTTATTTCGAACAATAAATTTTGACAATCAATGAAGACTTCAACTGGCCTTATAAATAAAGCTTGATCGTAACAATTGTGGAATGTGGTTGAAGATATGTCGTTTTATTTTATTTTTCTCTGTTTGTGTTTGTACTTATTTTATCATACATCTTTGTTTCTAGGAGAGACATCCATATATGGTCCCTTGTTGATGAATCGACATGGAAAGTAGATCAACGGCCACTAGTCGGTCATACAGCATCGGTGGAAGATTTGCAGTGGAGTCCAAATGAGCGAAGCGTATTAGCATCTTGTTCGGTAGACAAGTCTATACGTATTTGGGATGTTAGAGCAGCGCCGCAAAAAGCATGTATGCTAACGTGTGACAACGCTCATCAAAGTGATATTAATGTTATATCATGGAACCGCACTGAACCCTTTATTGCAAGTGGGGGTGATGATGGTTTTCTTCATATATGGGATTTGAGGCAGTTTCAAAGTAAGCAGCCTATAGCCACGTTTAAACACCATACAGATCATATTACAACCGTCGAATGGAATCCCAAGGACACAACAGTACTAGCGTCTGGAGGGGACGACGATCAAATAGCTTTATGGGACTTGGCAGTTGAGAAAGATACTGATCAGGGATCCACAGATGCTGATGACGACTTGAATAAATTGCCGCCCCAGCTCTTATTTATACACCAAGGTCAGAAGGAGATCAAAGAACTGCATTGGCATCCCCAAATACCCGGCGTAATTTTATCTACAGCACATAGTGGCTTCAATATATTCCGTACAATAAGTGTCTGAAATACCACCCCAACTTCCACACAAACACTAACTTTTGTAAATATGCCAAGTCATTTTTATTATTCTTATCTACTCTAATATCATAGGGAGATTAATTGGAACACGTTGCCTTTGGGTCGTCGTTGCAAACATCGCTGTCTTTCAACAAGGCATAATTTATTAGATGTCGCATCGTCGGGCGTCCATGGGGACAATTCTGTAATGAGAAGAGATAACAAGCAATTGAGAATATAAAATCTATATTATATATAAATGCATTGTATCTATATAAAGCTTCTGTAAAAAAAAATTAACTATACACGAACTCCTATGTATTTGCATATTTTACAGTAGCAAATTTTGTCACTTTACAATCATAATAAAATCCTATTAATAATGACCCAAAGTATTATTTTTTTCGAGATTATAAATTGGTGCATATGAATTACATTTCCTACTTATAACTATTACAGTTTTTAAATAGTTCCAACACGATCGCCCTTGGGGCACAACCGTTTACTGTAAAATGGCGGAGTCAAACGAACTACAAATTTTAAATGAAGCCAAATATTTCAAGGGAACTTGCGAAAAGCGCGTGGAGTCTTTGCCGGACAAGCACAACGTCAGATAGACTATTACAAAATCACAATAAAGTATGCCCAATATATTGCTCATTTCAAAATAAAAGTCGCGCCCTTAAGTTTTTCACATAAGGCTATTAATGAAATGAGTGGTATATTTCGGTATTTCCATATAAAATATAGTATTGTTTCACTATATGTTGCATGCAAGTATACGATAGTAAGGCACCAAAAATACCATATAGTGGAAGAAACGACAAGAAACATATTCATTTGTATACACATGCATATATACAAATGAATAGGGTTTCATTTTATACTAATTACAAATTACTTTAATCAACAGGGACAATGGACAGCGCTATTGATTTTTGCTGGGTACTGTTCAACATTGGGAACAGCAGTTCCAGCAGGTTATTGTATTGGTGTTATGAATAGCCCCGGGGAGGTAGCCATCATCTGGTCAAACAGAAACAAATTTGAACTTATTATGCGTTTTGTTGCAGTTCATGCGGGCATGGTCCAATCGAACCTTGGAATTGCGATACAATGTACAGCTATCAAAGACTAATTTAGATCTACTGTGGTCTGCTGTAATCTCCATATTTCTGGTAGGAGGAGCGGTGGGATCTTTTGCTGGTGCTATTGTGGCAAATAAATATGGGAGGTAAATGCATGCAATCAATAGTATACCGCTTATTTGTCGACTAGTGTTGGGTTGTTGCAGAAAGCGTTGTGTGCTAATTTGTGGTTGCCTCTTCTGTATCGGAGCAGTATGTTTTTTCTGTTGCCGCGTGCTAAATTCAATCGAAATGCTTATCTTGGGACGCTTCGTGGTTGGCTTGGCGGCTGGTTTAACCACTTCCTCCTTACCTATGTATCTTAGCGAAGTTGCGCCTTTAGAGTTGCGGGGAAGTCTAGGTGTATTTTGTGCAGTTGGGTTGACGGCTGGTGTTGTAGTTGGTCAGGTATTTAGCCTGCGGACAGTCTTCGGAAACGAGTCGCAGTGGCACATTGCATTGAGTTTGTACGTCGTGCTAGTTGTTGTATGTTTTGCACCATGTTTTCTGTATCCAGAGAGTCCGAAATGGCTTTATGCGGTTAAAGGAGATCGTGAAGAGGCTCATGCACAGCTCATGCGCTTAAGAGGAGGAAACCTTAAGGAAGACGACTTCGCCAACGAAATATGTAGTGCGGAAGACGAAGAAGATGCCTGTGGTTATTGTGACGTCCTGAAAGACAAACGGCTGTTGCTGCCTCTGGTCATTGTTTGTGTATACCAAGGTGGTCAGCAGCTCTCTGGGATTAATGCAGTACGGATGCAATTTTAGCACTCACATAACAGCATAATACACTCCAATTTAATTCTTGCAGATTTTTTATTATTCAGTGTCGATTTTCCGTAGGGCTGGCGTATCTGATCAAGCAGCCGAATGGGCGAACTTGGGTGCCGGATCTTTAAATTTGGCCACCTCGCTGTTGGGTCCGTTTCTTATGGCCAGAGTGAATCGCCGACCACTAATGCTGATTTCAAGCTTGCTGTGCAGTATATTCCTTCTTAGTTTTGCCTTGATGTTAAATTTTATAGTAAATATGGCATCACACCCGTACAAATATACATACATGTAAAAAAATAAAACTCCCCTTTTGCAGGATGATGTCGCGTGGTTCGGACCGGGTTGTATAGCCTGTATATTCCTGTACATATTTTCATTCCAATTTGGAGTTGGTCCTATTCCATTTTTTATTGGATCAGGTATGAACATATGACACATAGTATATTTTATTTCGTGATTTTGTTCTATTGCAGAATTGTTCCAAGTATCCCCCAGGCCTGTAGCAATGTCATTGGGAAGTTTATCTTCGTGGTGTTGTAACTTCGCCGTAGGCATGGCTTTTCCAACGTTACAAAATTTATGGGGCCCATTCTCATTTCTGCCATTTTCTATTACGTGCTTTACAATATTTCTCTTAACAAAATTCTATCTTCCAGAAACTAGAGGTCGAAATCCGATTGATGTTGCACATTTGGTATCCCAAGGATTTCGTTCAAATGTATAGATAGAATTTTTAGTTACTTGTATTTTTTTCTACCAATTTCTTTTTTTTAATTGACATTTAAACCTTTGTAGTGTAATTCTGTAATCAAGGTATATCTAACTTGTCTGTAACTATGTTTTGTAATATCGGTAAGATTAACCCGCACATTTTTTATGTAAAAATAAAATTTATATCAACTTATTCATATCAATCGGTAGGGCTTAGCGGGCATTATTTTGATCGATATTTTTACGAACATTTTCGTTAATTAGCTAAATTAAAAGCAAATGGAAAATTTCAGTTATCGACTATTGTCGGTAATTCTGTCGTTAAACAGTTACAGAATATCACTATCAATATAAATGTAATGTATGTATTAAAATAAACGAAAATACCTAATGTTGATATATACAATATTATAAAAATATCAACTTTTGAGTTTTTGATGTACATGTGTTCTCTTCCCGTACTGCAAGAATCTACTACTTTTTACTACGATAAAGAATTTTTCTTTGTGATATCGAAGAAAATAGTAAAATCTAGTAGATTCTTGCAGTATGTGTAAAGACCAATAATGTTATTAATTTCATTATTTTTTCAAAGAAAAAAAAAAAAAGAAAACAATTTGAAGTCATTAAGTCCTATTTTAATTAAATTGTAACCTATACTACTCCGTGTGACAATTTCAATTTATTCACTAACGAGAACCTAGCCCAAAGAAACATTAGCGATTCCAAAAACTTCATTACATGGACTACTCCAAAAGCATAAAATTAACAGTATATCACTTATTCATATCATAGGCAACAGTACATGAACTATTCCAAAGGCTTAAAATTAATAGTATGTATAACCATGGAACAATTATTCACGGTAGGCCATACTAACTTATAAACTTATATCGTTTCCTTTGGATGTTGCAAACACATGTACCAAGACATAATGCCCTGTGCCACAGTGCGGTGAAGGATACAAACATATTTTTGCACAAATATATCAAATTTTAGAGATGTGTTTTTTGTTTTATTGATATTGTCGATATCGACTATTTATCGACAATATCAATAGAACATCGTCGCATGAGTGTTATAGAATACTAAATAAATGTCGGAGTGATGTCGATGTCAATGCGAAGTGATGTGACAAAGAAACGTCGTCTACAACGACGACGACATACGGAATAGGGGTGATTATAATTTTGCGAATAAATTTAGAACAAATTGAACTTATTTTACATTGAATTAGTGTACTATGCATCTGATTATTTTAATTATTTATGGAGATATAAAGCAATATGCAATATAATAACATGATATGTATTAAATCTATCTATCAATCAATTGACACATACATTTGATTTCTTACGTCGTCTACAACGACGACGACATACGGAATAGGGGTGATTATAATTTTGCGAATAAATTTAGAACAAATTGAACTTATTTTACATTGAATTAGTGTACTATGCATCTGATTATTTTAATTATTTATGGAGATATAAAGCAATATGCAATATAATAACATGATATGTATTAAATCTATCTATCAATCAATTGACACATACATTTGATTTCTTACTGGATGTGGTTCGATAACTTTTTTATAGTCAGGAGAAAGAGAATTATTTTTGCTATTTATGTAGATATATATGCGATTGCCGAAAATTTTTAAAATTTTGGTATAAACAAAAAACAAAAAGTTTGAATAAATAAACTCTGGTGACATGAATTAAGAATAGTGTTGTATGAACGGATTAATTGATGTACTTAATTGTGAGAGCGAACAACGAAGATTTTCAATACCTACCCATGGTTGCTCAATTTCTCCCATGTGCTTTACCAACATTTCCATAGTTGATTTTTTCAGAGATGTGCCAATCATGACGGATTTTCGACATGCCCGTGAAGCGAACATGGCTCGTATACGAGATGGACGGCACATAGTTCCCTCTGGAGCGTCTTGTAACATAAAAATTAACTCGTCTATATCCTCCTTTCCAAACTCCCAATTTTTGCTCATTGGTTTACCAAGCAAACTGATCTTTTTTGTTGGCGGCGCTGTAATGATAAATGTTGTGGAAATACCAATGTTTGTAAGTGCAAAGCGCTATGTACATTAAATGTAAGACATAAGTCCAGTCCATAGCCGGATCGTTTTAAAATGTTTACCATCTGGAATCATTGTCCCATGTTTACTGATCACAAAAATTCGACATTTCGAGAGAAGACAGACCAGTATTAGCAAATTTAAAATGACCCAGGCGAACTGCAACGCATGTAACAATTGAACGTACCATCGTGCTTGATTTCGAACTTGAAGCCGTTTTTCTCAAATATTGGCAAATGGTCTATTAATACCATTTCATTAACAGCAGTCAATTCCAAGGGCTGAGCAATAGCTAATGGTTGGTGATGCAGTTGCGTTGTTTTCTGCAATGTTTCGAAATTATATTTTTCGTCCGTAGCATGCTGGTCAACAATGAAGAGATCTGCATCCAGTTTTGTGATGATGAAACCTAAATTGAATTGACCCAATATTTCCATACTCGCGAAGTGTGATTTACTTATTTCTTTTTGCAGTTCTGCTTCTGCAGTTTTATTTTGAATTGGATTAATTTCACTTTTAAAACGCAAACGCTCCATTTTTGATTTTTGTTGCATTTTCTGTTCAAATTCGTGTTCCTTTTGCAATATTGATTCAATTTCAGATATTGAGATTTTCATTTCATTGCACGTTATCCTTGGGATATAATTCTCGACATCGCTATCATCGAGTGCAATATGTGTTTCAATATCCGATGAATTTTCCAAAAATTTCCCAAAGGAGTCATCGAGTGATTCTGGAGCATGTTCGCTTATGATTTCGGTCGATTTTGTATACATTACTTGCGTTTCATCTGCATTCGAAGAAGTTGTTAATTTGTCATTTTGGTCAAATATTCCATCGTTAGCTTGTTCATTTTCGTCATCCTCAGATTCAGATTTATAAGGTTGCAAACTCAGCCCCTTCTCGGGTTGCTCCTTTTTTAAAAATGCCTGTATTTTGATCATTTTTAATGTTCTAGTCCTTATTTCTTCGGTTTCGTGACATTTTCTTTTAGATGTTTTTGTAGACGATATCACGGTACCCCCAGTATCTCCCGTACGTTTCCACTGCGATAGCACTTGAGAAAATGTCTGTGTGGATGTTGGATAAATATCATCCTTCTCATCATCCAATGGGACTTGTTCTTCAGCCGACTTCATTTTTGGAGAGTTTTGTTCCATCGTTATCATACCGGCGATTGTTGTATTTTGCATTTTATATGTAGATGGGATGCTGGAAAATGTTATACCCAACGCCTTCTTGATTAATGCCATAAGAATTTTCTCGTTGTTAATGTGCAGTTGTCGCTTATCGGGTGTTAAATTGACATCAACCGATTCACGGTCGGTAACAATGTTCAGATATACGAAGGGGAACTGATGAGGATTATAACGATGATAGTATTCATTTACGACCTTAGAAATCTGCAAAACACGAATAAGATTATGAATATATTTGTGCACGGTGTATATTGAATGTCAAATTTTACGTTCTTAGGATCACATGGTCTGGAATTTACGTAGAAAAATTGCCTATCCTTTGATGATCGCCCACTTCCGTGTGCACAACTAGATATATAACCCTCGAACTCAGAACGCAACATTCGTTTAACATCTTCCCTGGTGAGGCGTATGGAGTCACCTAAATCTTGTTGCAACTCCTCGAGCAGCTCGTCAACGTCCCTGTTTTTATTATCACTACCCCGTAGTGGGGACTTCATTTCTAGAACATCGTTTGCCTGACGACTACCAAATACGGCTGAAATATTGGAAGAGACGTTGTCAGAGCCCTGTGTTTGTATTACGACAACCTTGTTTCCTTTGTTCGTCTGATTCGTGCATTTTATTCGCACCCCTTTGCAAACTAAGCCATACGCTTGTAGAATTTGACACATTTGGGTGAACTCCTTTTTAACATTCTTCACAAAAGCACGTCTTCTAACAGGAAGCTTTTCAAAAATATTTGCTAATATCACAGTGGTTCCGATAGACCTAGCACAACGAGTCCGGCTTATAATATTTCCTTCGTGGTCCATTTCAATTTTTGTACCAACATCCGTATTTTTGTGCCGCGTAATAATGGTCATGTTTGCCAAAGCACAGAGAGAACTCAAAGCCTCCCCCCGAAACCCAAATGTAACAACCGACTGTAAATCAGTGAATTCTCGAAGTTTGGAGGTGTGATATTTAGCGGCTTGACAAACAGAATGATTGCTATTAATGTCTGGATGTAATTAAATATATTAACATACTCATTCCTTCCAGGTTGTGGTCTTCAACACCGTGGCCATTGTCACTGACCTCTATCGATTCCTTGCCGTAATCAATTAACTTGACTTCCACACTTGTTGCTCCAGCATCTATGGAATTTTCTACTAGCTCTTTAACAGCAATTGACAAGCTTACAATAACCTGCAACAATTTTGAATATGTGAGAAATAAACAGCGATGGCAAGAAGTCCACATACCTGCCCTGAACAAATTTTATGAACATTATCCTTGCTTATAGATTTTATACTTTTTGAATCCTCGCTGGTCGCTGGCACAGCCGAATAATCTTCGTTCACTTGCTCCATGATTTGGTAATTTTCTTTTATAGGGAAACTCAGCTAGGTACAAACTGCATTTAATGTATATTTAGATTTATCAGCAATTTCTTCCAGTTCGAGAGTCGACTGAAAAGTGATAAGCAGAAAAAATAATCCTATTCTATTTACAAGCAGAAGATGTTAAGGATGCGTCGATCAATTCACAAAATTCAAAGCAAGCCACATTTAATAAGGTAGCCGCACAAAACAAACAGATTAATGCACCTATGGCAGAATCAAGATCATGGCCTATAAATAAGGTCACCAAGATAGCAATCGAAATCGGAAAACAGCTGTTTTTTCTCAAGTCTAATGTCAAAAATTTCGACTTTGTTTACGTTTTCATAATGGAAGTCAATTCACAATAATGCATTTTGACAGCAAACTTAAGAGGTATCGATAATCAGCTGGTCTCCCTTGGTGACCTTATTTATAGGCCATGATCAAGATCTATTAATAAGGTCACCAACAAGATCTATTAATAAGGTCACCAAGATAGCAATCGAAATCGGAAAACAGCTGTTTTTTCTCAAGTCTAATGTCAAAAATTTCGACTTTGTTTACGTCAGGATCTATTAATCAGGTCACCAAGATAGCAATCGAAATCGGAAAACAGCTGTTTTTTTCTCAAGTCTAATGTCAAAAATTTCGACTTTGTTTACGTTTTCATAATGGAAGTCAATTCACAATGATGCATTTTGACAGCAAACTTGAGAGGTATCGATAATCAGCTGGTCTCCCTTGGTGACCTCATGGCCTATAAATAAGGTCACCAAGGGAGACCAGCTGATTATCGATGCCTCTCAAGTTTGCTGTCAAAATGCATTATTGTGAATTGATTTCCATTATGAAAACGTAAACAAAGTCGAAATTTTTGACATTAGACTTGAGAAAAAACAGCTGTTTTCCGATTTTGATTGCTATCTTGGTGACCTTATTAATAGATCTTGTCATGGCCTATAAATAAGGTCACCAAGGGAGACCAGCTGATTATCAATACCTCTCAAGTTTGCTGTCAAAATGCATTATTGTGAATTGATTTCCATTATGAAAACGTAAACAAAGTCGAAAATTTTGACATTAGACTTGAGAAAAAACAGCTGTTTTCCGATTTTGATTGCTATCTTGGTGACCTTATTAATAGATCTTGTCATGGCCTATAAATAAGGTCACCAAGGGAGACCAGCTGATTATCAATACCTCTCAAGTTTGCTGTCAAAATGCATTATTGTGAATTGATTTCCATTATGAAAACGTAAACAAAGTCGAAATTTTTGACATTAGACTTGAGAAAAAACAGCTGTTTTCCGATTTTGATTGCTATCTTGGTGACCTTATTAATAGATCTTGTCATGGCCTATAAATAAGGTTACCAAGGGAGACCAGCTGATTATCGATACGTCTCAAGTTTGCTGTCAAAATGCATTATTGTAAATTGACGTCCATTATGAAAACTTAAACAAAGTCGAAATTTTTGACATTAGACTTGAGAAAAAACAGCTGTTTTCCGATTTCGATTGCTATCTTGGTGACCTTATTTATAGACCATGATTGCTGTTTCAATACGTTATTACCAAATTTGCTCATCTTTCTCGGCTTTTTTGCTTATATATGTGTGTTTTTATTGTGATGTTGTGCGCAGTGCGTTTTGTAGCGGAATCGTCTACGTCGACGCCATAGATCATTGATGCTCAAAACTTCCCAAAATCATACGTTAGCTTAAATGCTAAAAACGGAGTCTCAATTGTTCTCTTTGCCTCAGTCATTTTTGATGATGAATTCTCAGTTAGGTTCACCTACATTTACTCTCACTTAGTTATGTCCATCACTGTTAATTAAGTCATTTCATTCGGTAGTTTCTCAGTTAATAGTAAAAAAGTTGTATGTACCCATGATATTCACTTCAAGCTGCCCTAATGAAAACCGGTAAGGGAAGTTGTAAAGTCGGACGGGCCGACTATATGATACCCTTCACCACTATGGGTATAGGAAGTGATGCAAATGTGGTATACCCATTTGTTTTTAGATTGCCAAATTTTTATTTTTTATCCGATTAAATTGAAATTTTGCACATAACATGATACATGTGTTGTCTTTCCATGTATCAATTTGAAAATAAAATTATTCTAACAATTTAAGAGATATTTGAGAAAATATTTGAAATTCCATTAAAAGTGATTTTAAAAAAGTGAAGGTAATGTGGTATACCACATGTTGTGAATTTGGTATAGTATAATTTTCACTTCCAATTGATATCTTATATAATTTATTGTTTTTAATGAATGCGAATTAGCTCCATATTTATGTCTGTTAAGATTTTGAACGAATAGGTTGAGTGGAAATTTAATTTTTAATATGTAATAATGTCTACACATGGCAATATTTAATTTTTGTATGAAGAAGTCGTTACAACTCATAGCCTTTGTTTTTCATCCTTGTGGTTCGTGATAGATTCTCGTAGAGTACAAATGTTTCAAATAGTAATGAGATTTTGTCTAGTGCTGGCTTTTTTCATGCAGACTCAATGTATACCACATTACCTGCACTTGTGTTTACTGAAGAAATGTTTAGTTTTTTTCCCTAAATTGGTGATTATGTGGTGCAATCGCGCATATTATTTGATTTTAGTTCATACTAATTATTTTAATGCTTTAGTAATAACGATTAAATTACATCCGTAAAACAAAAAAATATTTTTAAACTTGAACCGAAAAAAGTAATTTTCATGAAAAATGTAATTTTTGGTACTGATTCTCGACGTGATTTAAATAAATTAAACATATCATTGCTATCTTATTTTTGTGAGAACAGCAAACTATAGAACATGTTTCAGTTATTCTAAAATTTTCAGTTTACAAAAAAAGTGACTATACCACATTTGCATCACCTCCTCTATATTAAACAGGACTATGAACAGGAAATTGGATGAAATAAAATATGTGATATATATCTAAATGTGAATCGACTTAGATCAATCGACTTCAAACAAATATCAATAGGTCATCCGTTGGGCTATGTCTGTACTTCTAGAAAACGCAACTATGTAATTCTATGCTCAATTTTGTACGTTGTGCAAAATTTGATGTCAATCTGACAAACATTAGGATTTTGATGTCCAATTTACGGGCGAAAATATATGTGGAAGTTATATCCAAATATGAACCGATTTCAACGAAACTTGTCACAGGTTAGGTTATACTAATTTCACTACGTTTTGTTCCTATCAGCCATATATTGGATCCTTGGTGCATCAATAACTTAAAATCAATCTATAATATAAGGGAGCTATATCTAAATCTCAACCGATTTTCACGAAGCTTGGCACATATCAGTCTGAACTAAATTCAGTACGCTATGCCAAATTTCGTGCAAATCGAAGGATATATAGGGACTTTGGTGCAATCGGAGGAACATATATATGGGAGCTATATCTAAATCTGGACCGATTTTCAGAAAACATGACCGACATCATTCTACGCCCCATTCAGTACGTTATGCCAAATTTCGTGCAAATCGAAAGATATATAGGGACTTTGGTGCACCATTTACATGAAATCGTACGAAACTATATATGTGAGCTGTATCTAACTCTGAACCGATTTTCACGAAACTTTGCAGCCATCACTCTAGGCTCAATTCAGTACGTTATGCCAAATTTGCTGCAAATTTGCTGCGACAGATATTTAGGGTCTTTAGTGCACCACTTACCTTAAATCGGACGAAACTATATATGGGATCTATATCTAAATCTGAACCAATTTTTTCCCAATAGGGTTCGTCCTTGGGCCAAATTAATGAGCTGTGCCAAATTTCATCCAATTCGAATAATAAATGCAACCTGTACTTTGTTTACAATTTAACATGGACAGACGGACGGACATGCGTAAATCGAACTAGAAAGTTATTCTATGCATATTCTCAAAAGGAGCCATGGGTCTATCTCGATTCAATTTGCTTGTTACAAACATATGCACAAAAAAAATCAACTGTGTACGCGGTAACTTCTTCTACCTAATATAAAATAAATAAAAGCGCGAAATATGAATGAAAGGTTATGATTTCTTTCCAAAAGCCTGTAGGTCAGTAGTCACACGGGCAAATTTTGTCGATCAAGTAAATTGAGTTTATGGGCGAAGGAGACGAGAGAGGAATAAAAGAGGCTACA